GTGATCTTACTGCCAAGGTATGTAAAATTGTCTACTTCTTCTATTCTGTCATTGTTCGCTGTGACTTCTTTATCTATCTTTGTATTTATCCTCATTAACTTTGTTTTGTTTACATTTATCTTAAGTCCAATTTGTCTGCCATACTTGACCAGGTCATCAGTTTTACTTTGAATATCTTTGTAACGCTGTGATAGTAAAGCGATATCATCTGCAAAGTCAAGATCTTCTAGTGACTGTTGAAATGTCCAGGATATTCCTCGACTGGTCTGACTGGTAGTAATTTTCATAACCCAGTCTATGCAGAAACTAAACAGCAATGGTGAAAGCAGACATCCCTGTCGTACCCTGGTTTGGATTGGGAAGCTGTCTGTTAGTTCAGTTCCGCAGATGACCTTTGCCTGGAAGTCCTTGTATAGCATCTGAATGATGGATATGATCTTATCAGGGATGCCGTAATGTTTGAGGATCATCCATAAAGCAGGACGGTGTATACTGTCAAATGCTTTGGCAAAGTCGATGAAGTTGGCATACAACGTAGCATTCCATTCATTGCTTTGTTCTAAGATTTGCCTCAAGGAAAATATCTGGTCTGTGCATGATTTTCCTTTTCTAAATCCAGCTTGCTCTTTACGAAGGTATGGGTCTACCACTGAGGCCATTCTGTTTAAGATGACTCTGCTTAAGACTTTGCTGGTAACTGACAACAACATAATCCCTCTCCAATTATTTGTGTCCACTAGGTCACCTTTCTTGGGCAGCTTCACTATGAGACCAACCTTCCAATCATCTGGTGCTGTTTCTGTCTGCCAAATAGTTTGCAGGATATCTGTGAGAAGTCTGGGTGTTAATACTTCCTCAGCTTTTAACATTTCTGCATGTACTTGATCGATCCCTGGGGCTTTCCCATTCTTGAGAAGTTTGATGGCATGTTTTACTTCCTCAATTGTTGGTGTGTTGGTATCTATGTCCAAAAGTGTCCATAGCTTCAATAATTTCAGCATGTTCTGCTGATGGACATTCCTGGTTTAATACCCTTTCAAAATGCTCTTTCCAACAGGTAAGCTCTTCTTCTATACTTGAGGCCAATACTCCATCTTGTTTTCGCACTGGTGTATCTGTGCTTTTAAAACCACCACTCAGAGTTTTTGTAATACGGTATAATGTCCCCATGTCTTGTTTAGAGGCAGCATTTTTCCTGCATCTTGCGCAAGCTTGTCAATGTAATCCTTCTTGTCCTTTGTGCACTTTTCTTAACTTCCTTGTCTTGTATTGTGTATGTTTCTTTTAGCTGATCTTTTAACCTAGCTGACTTGGCTGTTAATATTTTCTTCTTTGTTTTGCGTCTTAGTTCCACCATTTCCCAGATCTTAGATGATATCCATTCTTCCTTCTTCAGGGTTTAGTTTTACAGAACTAAAACAAAAATCTTTCACAACGTTTTTTTCAATGAATTTAAACTTTACATGTTCATGAAGACGTGCATTGTTAATTTTTTTTTTACAATGATTTGTCTACGATGTTGTATTTCTCGAGTCTAATGGACAGAAATGAATATGTTTCATCCAATTGTCACATGTCACCCATGTGACTGGACACAATAGACTTAACCTCATTTTGGCATTTTTGAAATCTTGATTTTATTTCGAATTCGGAAAGGGGTTCTTGTTTTCCCCAAATTCATAATCATTAAGTTTCACTTTGGAAAAACGCTCATAGACTTTGAATTGTTTGAAAGACAAAATGTTACGCCTTTATTCGCGAAAGTTTCGCGTTATATAACGCAAAAAATTAATTTCTTAACCCACGAAAATGAGCTCAGTGCGCTTTCGTTAGTTTAAACGTGCGGATAGAAGTTGTATAAATAAGATGTGGATTCTCTTTAATGATTTTTGTCAAAAGTCAATAAGGTAACTTTTTCTAAACTTTATATAACCATTTCTCACAATAAATTGGTATCATTGAAAACTGCTTTTTCAATTAAAAAAATTAAAATTAAGTCGAAAATATTTTCCTATCTTGTAAATTAGTCATCAAAAAAATTAACTTTGTTAAAAATCAATCTGATTCTAATAACACACAAGACTTTTTTACATCTGTGATATTAAAAGGGTGCCAGAGTTCCTTGTGGACAACATTTACATATTGACATATGTGGAGACCAGGTGTTCCAACAAAACACTGGGATGCCGACGGACACTAATTGTGCTCCTTTAATTATTACATGCAGCAGAACTGTTTTTATATTTCTAAGAAACAAAATTCGTTCAAATACTTTTAAATGAGAAGAAGGGGACACTTGTTGGGGTTTAAGACTCAACATACAAAGTATTATCGAAGATGCAATATTATTATACCTCATTATAAATATTCTAAACAACGCGTTATCTGATTGGTTCTAAGTTGTCACGCGATCGGGCCGTAACTATTCATATTTCCCGGCCGTCTGTATGCTTTTCATCATATTCCACCTCTTCGGATACTTGGTGCATTTTCCCGCAAAAATTATCGTTCGTTTAAAGAAAACTCCCGAGAGTATAGTAGACATCACAATAACCTGGTTTACGTCATAAAATTGATGAAGATGTGTTGACCAAAGAGTTAAAATTAGTAACGTTTTGTTGAAAATGAAAGTGAATTTGAGAGCGGTGCCAAATTTGAAAGTTTATGTTTATTTCAAAGGTTTTGCTTGTTTCGGTATAATAAACAATTCATTGCATGAATGTTCGGGAAACATGAAGACTTATTCAGCCAAGAAATATCATATTCCCCTCGGGCGAAGCCCTCGGGGAATATGATTTTTCTGGCTGAATAAGTCTTCATATTTTCCTCACTATCATGCAATAAATATCAATTAGCACAAGTTACTGACTAGCTATCTAACAACTAAACAATGACAAACGAGATTTAATATTTCAACTTTTCCTTTTGCAGTAATATCTCGTTATCAACATATGGTGTGTACATCTCCCAACTTATTCAATCCTCTTCATTAACATGATTAATTTGAATAAAATATATTTTAAACAAACTTATTCGATACTCAAGAGCATGCTCCTAGTACGAAATTTTTTTTAAATGGAGGCAGCTATAGTCTACTGAAAGATAAGATTGTGTTACAGGGATTTCAACTTGACATGGTACCTAACCTAGCTCTAACGAACTTTATTCGTTAACAAATATATAACCTATCGTTGGATCGTGTATATATGCTTATTAATTAACTTGTTTCACATGTAATTGAAAGGCCTTTGTTTTTAATACTGAATTTGACTTGGGAATGCTCTGTCTACCTGCATGAGCAATACATCATAGAACTCACGGCGGATACGCATGACCGGTTGACAGGGGATGCTTGCTCATCCCACCTCGATCTGTAATTTCCAGGTGTCTGTGTCCATGTCCTTTTCATATATTTGGTATTTATAATTAAAAAAATATTTTTAAAAAATCAATCACTGGTCTTTCCACTTTGAAAAGAAATATATACATATAACGTTATATAAGCCTGTATATGATATATTCGATTCTTTTAGAGCATGTTTTAATTATTGCTTGTTAATTTATAATTATCAAACATTCTAATTTTACGAAGTAAGCAAACATTTGTCTTCAACCTTTGGGGGTTGGAGAAAAATCAATTACATGAAATTTATCGTGTTCAACATGATGTTTATATATTCTGTTTGATTAACCCCCATCAGCTGTTCGGTACAATAAATCACATATTCTCGTATCCTGTTTTCGACCGTATTGTATTTTCGACCTATTTTTCCCAATCTGCTTTCCGTGCAGATTCCGCGCGGTAGAACATTATTTTTTGGTTGCTACACTAAGAAAAATACCTTTGAAGCACAACTGTAGTGAAAATACCAAAAATAATCAATTCAACGGAATTTCCGCAATGGTTTTAGTCCGATGTCAGAAATTCTAGTCTTTTTACTAATGCACATTTTATATGTTGATTAATCAAAGCCGTAATCGGTTAATTACAAAGATTTTTTGATGACATTTTTCTGAAAGAAAATTAAGATCTCTGTTAAAGAGACGCATGAATATTGAAATGAATGGGTGGATCAAACAATTTTTTTTTCTTACTTAAATATGAGCACTTTCTTACAGATTTTTACTGGAAAATGCAACGTAATTTCATTGATTTTATTTGGAAATGCACAGCTACTGACAGATGGATTCAACCAACGAATAAATGTATTTGCAACCAAAATATGCAACCTGTTCAATTTTTTTTTGAAGTATAGACAATCGTTTTTTTATTGTTTGGAATATTCAGTGGGTATTTATAGCCAATACTGATTGGGCGTTGATACTATATTTAGGTCGAAAACACAAGACGCTAATATTTTTGTAAGGAAAACTGTGCCCTCTCCACATCATGGCATATAAATAAAATAAACACAAAACTGCAATTTGGTTTACATCATTTTATTTATAGATACATTAGCTAACATTTTAAGCCCATATTTTTTCAGATTCTATAAAGTTTGCGATAAATTAATATAAAACATCTAAATAGGTCGAAAATACAATACGCCAGGATATTTAATACGATATTTGATATTAAGAAAAAACATTATTTTCAATCATGCATTTCCATATAACAATTACGAAGTGACAATGAAAAAGCCTAATAGTAAAAATATTGATTTCATATTTCAAATACTCTGTTATTCTGGCCATTTAAACTTTTTTTGTGTACATCATTCATATGTGTCAGGAAAGTTCTTATTATCATATGACGTCAATCAGACCGAAGGGGATATTTTAGAATGTCGACTACGAAAGTGAAAAAAAAAATAGTTGTGTTTTTCGCCAAAATTTGTAAACATGTCTAGTTATCCCCCAGAAAAGAAACATTTTAAATAACTGGATTATTTAAATAACAAAATATCATTACCATATATTTCAATCTAATATATATAGAGAGAAAATACATTCTGAGGAAATTCGAAAGCGGTTAAATCGATCCATTCGGATCTCTTTCACTTCACACTTGCTCTTATTTTAGGTCTTCAGTGACAACGAACATATCTTACAAGATGTGATGAACGCCTGCATCCGCGTGTCGATATGCCTGTTGATTGAACTTTAATTTGCAAAGGATAATGGCTACGAAAGTTGTATATTTTACTGTTGATGGAAAGCCGGAACAAGCCGAATTTAGATCGGACGACACGGCAGACGAACTGAAAGGTAAATTCCTATCGCATGGTAAATGAACTTGTCAAATAAGATTTCACTGTTTTTGTATAAACATTGTGTAAAAATCTAGAATGATTTGTTAAAACTGTTTTCTTTGATTGGACACCTCAGCGATCTACAGTGCTAGAAATTGATAACGATTAAACAGTTTTGTCAGATGTCAAATTTCGCGCACCTGCTTATCAAGATTTACGTATAGATCTATATATACGGGGTATTGCCATAGGCAAGACATTGTTGTGTATTGCAGCATGCAGCATTGTTAAATCAGAAGACAAAGTAAATGATATGCATGCTGGCACTGAAATTTAAATGTAACCTTAGACTCAGTATGATGTGGTCATAATGGAAACATCAACTCGTACAAAACCTACACGAAAGAGAAAATTATCATTATTCTTCACAGAAAGCAGTACAGCTGAAATTGACAGTTATCAGGTCCAGTCCAAAGACTATTTCTACCTACGTAGCTATTAATAGCTACCTAGGTATTTAAAGCTACCCAAAGTAGCTATTTTTACCTACTTTTTATATTTTCTGCATTTTGCGGCCAAAAGACCAAACGGCGCAACATGGTGAATACCATATCTTTTGATACTGTCACACTAATGATGAATACGACAAAATTTTGGCCAAAAAAATGATTACTTCCTGAATCGGCAATTTTATAGTTTCTATGCAAAATTGAAAATATACGAAGTGATCATTTTTTGGCCAAATTTTTGTCATATTCATCATTAGTGTGACTGTATCAAGAAATTTTGTGCTCACCATGTTGCGCCGTTCCTGCATTTGGCCACAAAATGCAAGTAAAGCAGAAAGTAGGTAAAAATAGCTACTTTGGGTAGGTTTAAATACCTAGGTAGCTATTAATAGCTACGTAGGTAGAAATAGTCTTTGGACTGGACCTGGTTATCTCAAGTTTAATTAAGTGGCACATATATACCTTTTCGTAGATATTCAATTATATAGAGCTATTGTCTCTAATTCTATTACCTGCATGAAAATGCCAAAAAAAAATGAATGAATAAATAAATTAATGAAAAGAAATATCATGAAATGATTATATTATAAGATATATACATGTATAAAAAAACCCAAATGAATTGTTGACTATATAAAGAAGATTTTCAAAGATGAAAAAAGAAAGTTATTTAGGCCATAATAAAAAAAATTCCTAGATTCTCATCTGAATTTTTTGAAAGATTGAGGAGAGCGGGCGGGTTTTATTATATATTTTTTTCCATTTTGCAGACTCTTTATAGACCTGGTCTGTCGGTGCAGATTTATCTTTAATACCAGAATAAAAATCATAGTAGAGACCCGTTTGTCTATTACTACACATCATCACCAATCTTTCACAGCCAATGACCCTTGTTTAGCATATGTTACAGCAATTACCATCTTTTCAGCTGTCAAAATCATGCTGACGTTCGCGGTATTTGAAACAAAAATTGAATGGTAGTTGAATACCGATCCCGATCAGAATTAAGACGAAGAAAAACAGAAATTAAAAAAATCAGGGCAGGGGTAAAAGACCGGGGTGGGTGGGATGAGAATCTAGGAATTTATTTATTATGGCCTTATAATGAATATTTTATAAAAAGAACATGAGGAACACATGCATGTTCATAACACAGTGATTGGGAAGCCAGCTTGCACCATGCGCCATAGTCGCATTGAAGTGAAAAATGGCGCATTGAATCAATCAATCATGGCACCAAGGTGCGCATTCAATTTTTTAGCGATGTTCTTTGGAAATATTTTGCGTACGACTTTCTTTACTTTCGTTTTAAATGCAGTCAATTTAAAACAACAAATCTCATTGGTTCAAACCTGTCAAAAAATACCGTATAAGCAGAATTTTTAGCGAGGATTTAATTTTGGCATTATTAGCAATGGTGCCAAGATCGCTAAAATTGAATATCGCTAAAAAATAATTCTGCCTTTGTTGTAATAGTTTCTTTAGTGAGCATTTCAAAATCGCTAATATTACTTCTCGCTAAAAATAAAATACTCAATTTTAAGGACAAATCGCTAAATTTGCATCTCTCTAAAATTTCCACTTATACGGTACTTCCGGTTAAACGAAGAGATACTTCATTCATTTGTATGGTAGGGCTGTTCCCTTTCCAAAATTGTCGTAATTTTAATACAAAATACGGGTCAGTTATATTCTAAGCAAGTTGCTTTAAATTTGCTGCATTTCACTCGTATTTCATATTTGTTTGTCACTGTTATTTTTTAAAATGGCCCTTCAGATTATATTGATGGCCCATTCATTTTCGAAATGGCCCATCAAAAATGTTGACAGTTGAGCCATAGTCCCATTGACTATTTTGGCCTTCCCAAGCACTGATAACATTTTTAATTTCCATCAACTCTGCCAGGGTTAACATTAACTTTTTTCCTACTTGTCTATTTGAACAAGTGACCAAGACACATATACTTGTCCGAACATCAATTTCACTTGTCCGAAAATTTTCAATAAATTTTGATTGATTCATGATATTATTGATTAATACAACAAACACATAAAACAAAATTTTAAACAGTTCTTTTTATTATTTAGGACTCCTTTACATTAAGATGCAGATGCACTTGTCTAATCGGACAAGTGCCCAGCAATATTCACTTGTCCATAATTTTTTTTTCACTGGTACCAGACAAGCAGACAAACCATAAATGTAGAGAGCCCTGTCTGCTGTTGAAGGTACCCGACAAAACAGCTGATGTACTGGTCATGCAATTCTGGTTTGAGAAGACTTTTTTATTGATAGATGTATAAAATTTTAATTGATTCATTATATGTGCTTAATATTTTAAGATAGGGCCACATCAATAAAAAATTTTGTTCGTCGGACCCACACGCTCGTAATTAACTGAAACTAGAAAAATAATATTAATTCAAAATTTCCCGCACCATGGAAATTCTGAGCAATTTTCTGTCCCATTTCCGCTCTATTTATCGCATTTTTCATCTGCTTACCCTGCAAATCAGAAAAAATATAATTGTCCGCTCAAAATTCTTCACGTTCCGCCTAAAATTTTTTACTACAAAAAGTAATAATATTATTATTTAACCGCTTGACCGCTCTTACTTTTTTTCATCAAATGTCCAACGAACAAGAAATTAAATTGGTGTGGCCTAGGCCAGCATATTTAATCCACATTGCCAAGTTATTTTGAATTATTGCACATTAAGACTAAGCATTGATCCACAGACATTAATATATATTTTTGGACAAATAAGTTGTTTTCACACCGTCTCTATCAAACCATGAAAGTGACTTGACACTCTTTATATGATTAGGACACACATTGACAGAAAATGGCAAAAATGACAATAAAAAATAAGACCAAGTACATGTATGTCTCAAAATATATACATATATTACAATGTATAAGAAAATATGATTATATGGAAAAGGTAATGTTTTAATTTTTTATGGGGACTGTCTGTGAACCATGGAAATTTATTTTTGTTTGTTGTTTAACATCCTTCTTGAGAATTTTTCACTCAAAGAGATGCTACCTCTTGCTGGTAGAGAGCTGCAAATTATTTACCTGTATGTACTTGCCAATCAAGGCCATTGAGCAGGGAGGGATTTTTTTTGTGCCAGCATCTACTGCAATTGGGGACCACAGTTTAATGGTCTCATTGGAAGGACCTATCTCCACATTGCACAGTGGGATTGAATCCTGCAATGTAAGGATCAACTTCTTACTCTGCAACTCCAGAGCAGATGCTGTACCAGTGAGCCACACAGGCGACCAAGATGAAAGTAAATAGAGTAATAATGGACCCAACATTTTATTAATAGTACTTTTCATTGAATAGTGGGACCATTTGCCCCACTATTGTTATAGACTTTCCCATGCAGTCACTGACTGATTTGGATATACATTGTATATGTGAGATACACAACATTTAAGCAATGTGAAGATACCAAGTTTTACAAGTGTTCTGATCTAATCTTTTTAAATTTTTGATGTCAAGGAGAGGCCATTTGTTCTATTTAAGGTGCAGCATTTCAAAATCAGACAATATTGATACTGGGGGTAAATATTTGAAATCTGCTGTCTTTTGTTCTTAATTAATTCAGACAGAGGAGAAATGTCCTTGACAACTTCTTCATATGGGGTTGTGAAAACACAGCAATCAGTGTGAGTCCTTGAGACACCAAGTTCTGGTTGTGGTATCTTAGCTAACTTACAGATACCCCATTCTTGATAATCATCAAGATACCCCCACTAACAACAGGTCTCTGAGGCTTTGGGATAATGTAGTGCCATTGACAGAAAAAAATCCCTTAAAAAAATAAAACAATTTTTTTAATCCCCTGAAGGCTGAATATACATGTAATCTACTTTTTGGAAGCTAGATAGCCTGTACATGTGTTTTGATTTTCATCATTTTCCATGTCTGTAACTAAAGTGCTTATCGCAATACATATGCAGTGACTTTGACAGTATATGTATACAATGACTTTGACAGTATATACAGTTCCAAAGCATACTTCGTTACCAAATAAGTAGATGGCCAACTACTATGAAATCATTTTCAAGGGGGATTAATTTCATTGTTTTCGAGGTATGGGGAGATCATTGACCCACAAGTTCATGACCACCATGAAATGTAAAATTTCATATTCATTAACTATAATTATTAAAACATTCTTCAACAATGAAATCAAATCCCCACAAACCAATTTTTTCCCTCAAACCTCAAGAATTTGAGCCCATGAAAATTTGTGATTTTACAGTATATGATGAACATAAAGATCATCAACATCAAGATGAAGATTTGCAAACATAGTACAATTGTACTTTATACAGAAATTTTGTGGACCTTAATTCTTTTTGACCAAAGTGTTATCTTGTTTAATTCTTCTGCATTAAAATTAAATTTTAAGGTAGATAAATCTGAATTTGGGATATAAAAATTGTATCTCCTATTGGTTTTGATAATTTGATGGTGGTGTGTGTGTGTGTGGGGGGGGGGGGGAGTAAACTATATATATAGCAACCACCATACAACAAAATAATGCAGTACACAAAGGATACATCAGGGACATTGGTACCAGCATTATATATTTGCCAAGTTTAAATAAGTTCCAGAATAAAATGTTTGAATGAGATTTTACTGGGCAATAATGTTATTCAGGTAATTGATGCTTTAGTGCCTTTCCAATGTTAATGTGTATGTCGCTCTGGGAGTATTTGGACATCTTCATTTTTAGTTGATTTGGTCAATATTGACTCAAGAAATTATCGATTGTTGAAGTCAGAAAGAAATGACAATAACCTAGGTATATTGTTATTTTAAGTGTTTGCATGTAGTGTTGTAAAGTCATAATATTGGTTTTATGTCTAAACACTCTTGGCATGATTAATGACAGAAATGCTGGAGAATTCCCTTTGGTTTAAGGCTTAAGTACATGCATGTAGCAACATGGCAAACACAAAATATTCATAAAAGATTTGGTAAACTAAGGTACATTGTACAAGTTGATTTTTTTGAGATATTCAAAGTGTGTTCTTGGTTGAAAGAAGAAATGATACATACATATAAATCCAAGCACTCTTAAAACAAACCAAGTACATATAGTTATGATGAACAAGGGTGCCTCTTTCAAAATATGAATTTCATGGCCCTGGGGTCAGGGATTCTGTTGCTATGACAGGAATCTAATGAACTTGGCTTTATTTTCGAGCATTGACCTACTTTTGAAAGATTATAACCTTGACCATAATTTCTCAATGGTTGCTGCAAGGGCTTTGGTAATTCACAGGTTGTTGCTTGTGCCAAGACCTTTTTTTGGTTTTCAGTTTTGGCCTTGACCTTGGAATTTGACTTGCATTTGAGAAACTTTAATCAGCAAAGAGCTGCCTTATGGGGGCATCAGTATTCGTAGTATTTTTTTTTTTTTTATCAATCAGTGATAACAATTTTTTTATTTTATTTGATAGAGACTTTTCGAGCAGCTGCTGAGGCCAATTCAGATGACATACTGAAGCTTTACAACACTAAAGGCAACCTCATCAATATATCTCCAAAGTTACCTGAGAACACCCCTGATACTCGCTACAAGTTAGAGGTGGTCGCCCTTCACTGTAATGGTAGGAACTGTACCCTTTGCCATAATTTTGAAGTATATGTAAAGAGTATACATTATGCAAAGGTTCCTAAAATTGTTTCCAGAGGGTTTGTTAATTTAAAAAAATAGGATCAAATGATTATAATAATTATAAGATATCCTGAGGCAGTCATTTAATTAAGGTCACTGAGCCCTGAAGTGTACTGTTCAAATGGGCTCAAATTGTTAAGTTGTACAGGATCTGCACCATGCTTGGCACAAAACTGTTCCTGTCAAAGAGGTCAATCTCGTTCTTTGCCTCATTTGTTAAGACAAGGTCAAGGTAGTTGAGTCTAAATAACATATCTACTGAGTTTTAATATTTAAGCTGAGAATTTTTAAGTTCTTGCTTTCAAGTTTACTAAACATAATATTGCTCATGTAAAGAAGAGGTAAAAAAAAAAAAACCCAACTTTTATGCAATTTAATTCAAACATATTTAAATAAGACTTTGCATTAAAAATTTTCAGTTTATGCTGAAATTTCTTTTAAGTAATGCTTTTAAGTAATGCTTATGCCTGATCTTATTTTGCCCTGACACGTTATTTTTCCATAATTTAATTTATACATATTTTTATTAACAAAAAAAAAAAAAAAAAAAATCATAAATGGGAGGCAAAGCCTATTTTGGCCTATTCCTTCTAGGACAGTTCTGAGTAGATTTCTATTATTAGGAAGTGTTAAAAAAATTAACTGAAATCAGGAAGTTCAGTTTTGGCAATTGATGTCAAAATTTGCTGAATCTAAATATTAATTTTGTCATGAACTAAAATTCAAATTTTATTAGTATCTCATGTTTTCTTTCTTGTTATAGCTATCTTACAGTGAGAAAAGGGCATTGGTAGCTAGAATATAGATTTTTTTAATTGAACTTTCTTTTGATATTTAATTTAATACTATCAAGTTTCAATGATATCTCTAACAAAAGTAAATATCAAAGTAATTGTAACATGGAACATGTGGACAACAGAGGATGTAATATAGAGCATAAAAGGGACAACAAATCTGTTGTTTGTTTTTTTTTTCAAGATTTTGTTCTTGGATTTTGGATGATTTTGTTCTGATTTCAGACAATGTCTTGGCAACACAGTTTGGGGCAGTGATCACAAACTTAGAATCAAGGTAATTTAAACAATATCATCTAGAGCTTGAGGAAATTCATATCAAATGACTGCGAAAACAGATTAGACTAAACAATCCAAAAAATCAGCCTGCTTCTGGCAGAGAAACAAAACACTGCATCTTCATGAAAAGATAATCGAATAGTATACACTTTGATCTTTTTTGTTCAAGTTAAAGACACATATGGGCAAAACCTGAATAAATGCAAAGTTTCTTAACTATACTTGATGAAATCCATAATGTACTTCATAATATGTATATGTGCACATTTATTTTAACACCCCCATTTCTTTAAAAATAAATGTAAACTTGGATACAAAATCTTGATAATGGTAACAAGTGCATCCCATATAGATTGTTTAGATAATTGAAATAAACCAATGGGAGCATTGAAGAAACATTAGACCCTACAAATTTAAAAAAACAGACTTTGCTTCAGAAATTTTTTGCAAGAAATTGTGATATACAGAGGATGAAATATCTAGTTTTATGGTTATATGTTCCTTGAACAATGTCAACACTGCATGTAGTTCAACACAGTTATGTTCATTATTGTACTCAACTTACTAACACACACTACTGTCGAATTTAACTATAATAGCAGTGATTTCCTCATACATTTTTCCATCTTTATTTATTTTAGAATAGAAATGTTGGAAAAGAAAGTTTTTGTAGAAAATGGAGAAATTCCACCTGTGATAGGGGAGCTGAAACACAATGTGGAAAACTTCAGAGAAAAACTAGAGGTAAGATTTTTTTTAAGCATGATTAAGATTTATTATTAATTATGTGTGAATTTTTCAGGCTACTAAGTCAGTTGGCCCATTGCTATCACCTGTGTTTATTGGTTATGCATCATATATCTGTCATTTTTGGCTTCTTCTCTAGAATCACTGAATCAATATGAGCAAATTTTTTTTATACACAAAGCATCCATACTAGGGTACAATAGAATAAAAATTATCTAAAGTTGTGAATTTCAAGGGCCACAGAAAGAAGGGACCAAAACCATGTAAATTACGGTGGATTTAAATTATCCAGTAAAAAGGGTTCCAAACTATTTGATGTTTTCAAGCACATCTGGGTTCAGGATTAAGGCTCCATTTTAAGTTATGAACAAAAAAAAACCCTGCATCTTATAAAATCATTTCCCTGACATGTGGAAATCGAATATTTTGATTTTTTTTTCAAACTAAATAAATATGATGATGATGAAAACCTAAATTTCTTTGCATACATCCAGACCAATATTTCTGTTGAGCATAAAGAGGTCATTAGATCTCACAAGAATCAGATGGATGTGATGGCTCAGTATTATTGGCCTCTTGTTGCTTATATGAAATGTATACATACAAGAATTTTATTTATATGAAATGTTGAAGTTGCATCTATTTCAAGATAATAAGAGCCAGAGTACAGCTGGTTATCTTAATTAATAATTGTTATTGACTCTTGCTTAATGTATCACTGCCACATGTGTCTTTGTACAAATTTTGTAAGAATTTTTTTATTGTAGTAGACATTGTTAAGTTATCTTTTTTTGTATAATTTTTTAGGGTGTTGACCATCTAAGTTGGTTAGGACTATTCAAAGACATTTCCTGTGGAACTTCATTGAAACCTTTCTGGGACAAGTCACAGTCAATAAAGAAGACAGATGAACACAACAGAATTGTGTATGAAAAATTCAAAAAAATCAGGTATGTCAACTTTGATTACAAAGTGACTGTAGGCAGTGTAGTTATCTCTGGAGCTGGTCACAGGGACAAAGAAATATGAGTCTTGGCACATGCAGATTAATTGTGGGAGGTTAACTGGAATCAATATGTTTATCTGTCTGTCTGTCTGTTTGTAAACAAACATGTTCTTGAAGACTACTACATGGATTTGTCTAAAAATGTGTAGGCTTATTCACCATATAAAGATGCACATTTGATATTTTCATTATAATAATTGAACTTTTATTTTTCATTGGATAGGTGTTATTTTTTTTCTTTTTTAGAGACAGTCATTTTAGGGTCAGGTAGATTTGAGTCATAGAATCAAGAAACTACTGTGGAATCATTATTGTTCGTAGGGACCAATGTTCGTGGCTTTCGTGGGTAACCCTGACCCACGAATTTACATCCCCACGAATGTATATACAAACATATATTTTATTATTTGTTAAATGTTACGATTACACAGACTATTTTATATCGTCAAATAACTGTTACTCTAGTGTAATCGCGCATAAAGAAGACAATCTGAGTGTGGTTATTGACACAAAACCAAAATAATTTTTAAAAAATTACGTATCAAAGACATCGATAACTATATACATTATTAAAAGTAATAAAATAATAAATACAACTGTTAAATTTAAGTAGTGTTTACATTACAGTCCAACACGCTCAAATGTCCCTTTCATGAGGTCAATTATCAGTGCGATTTTAGAGTAGTGCTAATTAGCCAATTAGCTGGAATTGGTTTCAGGGTAGACGTATATTAAGTCAATTTGGGCATTGTCGTCGTTCTCATTGATTTAGAGATTTAAAAATATGATCCGCATATCACTAGTGTTTTTTTATAATTTTAATTTTATTTACTGTGACATCACGGCTGTAATATTTGGCGGTGCAAGTAGCTGTTACATTTTTGTGTTCACAAGAGAGATAACTTAAATAAGCAACATTGATGGAGTTATCCTTCTTTGTTTTAACTTTGGAGAAAAAAACGAAATAGAATTTGTTACCAACGAAATTACGTCTCCACGAACCAGGACAATTTTGGCTACCCACGAACATTGACCCCCACGAATAAAAATGATTCCACAGTACAAGTAAGTGCATCTTTAGCATGTTTAGACAATATAAATTTCAGATTAAAACTAGCTTATTTATATACTTAAAAATGATGAAGAATTTTTAAAAAAGCATAAGGAAAAAATCATGGTCCCTACAGATGTAAGAGTTATGCAATAACTGTCAGAAGCTTAATTTCTAATAATTTTTAAAAATGTTGCATCAAGATTACCTGGTACACATGTTTTTCATGTTATAGAGTTTGAAAAAATCATTTGATAAATCTTTGTCCATACAGAAATTACATAAATTTCTAATAACATGAATAAAATACAAACTGATTAACAAGTAGTGCATCACACAGTGGATACTGTTAATCTGTTCTCACCATGGGGGAAATGAATTTGCCTTGTTTAAAATTAATAAGTTCAATATAGGAAGGCTATCTTAATCATATATGTTAGATCTCTGATCAAGTAGGTGTTTTCTGTATTACACAAGTAACCTACATCTAAAATCAGGTATCTCAAACACCAGTATTGGAATACCATGGATACTGTAAGTTATAGACAGAAGTTGTCATGGGGATAAAATTTGTGGAATTGTTATCTAAAATGGTTTATGAACATTAAAATTCGTAGCATTGATAGAAATTCTTTTCATTATATATACATGATATAGTCATATAAAAATTTCTTGTTAGATTTAATATCTTGATAATTGTTAACTTTTATTAGTTATAACCTTCTAAAAAATATATTGAGCATTTAACATTAATTAACTGTAAACAAATTGGGAACACGTGTAGATCAAGTTCAAATGAGCTTTTCTGATCACATATTGTCCATCTGTCTGTCGATCTGTAAATTTTCAATTTACATTTTCAACTTCTGTATAAACAAACAAACTTGAGATTTATTACAAGGCGTACATTGTCTTTTTCTGAACTCTAAACTGCATGAATATGGGAGCCACTAGGGGTTTTATTGTGTGAAATCTGCTGAATAGAGAAACTCAAATTTCTTTTTTCATGGGTACTCCAAAAATGACAGATACAAAGGATAAAATTTATACAAAAAATAATTTAAAAAATGACCAAGAGATTCTCACATTTCTATGTTTTAAATTTCAAGAGCACATATTTTATATTTTTTCTTTTATAACATTTTTATTACCCACTTTCTACGAGCTTTAGTTTAATTATCATAACGTCAAAAGCACACTATTATGACGTCAATGTATTAATTGGTTGAAAAATCATTTTAAAAATCAGTTATATAAAATTGTAATTTAATTTTTCAACCTGTATATTCTCAATTTTGTTAAATTTTGTTAATTAAGTTTAAAAAATTGCATTAAAGAGTAAATGCATGTCATTTTTAGGTCACCTGAGTAAATTTCAGGTGACCTATTTAGTGTTTTCGTCTATATCGTCGTTCGTCGTGCGTCGTGCGTTAACATTTGAACATTTTCGAGTGGTTTTTGCAACCACTGAACCAATTTCAACCAAATTTGGCACAAAGCATCTATGGGTGAAGGGGAAGAAAATTGTGAATCAATAAACTACTGCCCCCCTGGGGCCTGAAAAAAACCACTAAAATTAATGCAATCTTTAAAAATCTTTTTCTTCCTAACCTGGACATCAAGCAGTCAAACTGTTTGCATGATTGTAATACAATGAGTCCTCTACCAAAATTTGAAATTCATGGCCCTGGGGTAAAGGGGTTCTAGTGCTAGGGCGGGGCTGAAAATTGGTAGTGAAAATGCATTATTTTTTGAAAATCTTCTTCTCTGCTCCTGGGTATTAAATAAAAACTAAGTACATAGTTATGATGAGCAAGAGTGCCTCTACCAAAATTGTGATAATTTTTTGTATAATTTTAGGGTGGGGCTCTATTGATTATATAGTGAAAATACATGAATTCTTTGAAAATCTTCTTCTCTGCTCCTGGGTATTAAATAAACTAACTAAGTACATAGTTATGATCTACAAAATACACATTTACCAAAATTGTCAATTTTATGGCCCTGGAATATTGCTTTTGGGGCTCTATTGATTTTATAGTGATATATGAATTCTTACAACATTTATCCTTTGCTCCTGGTTAATATGCTAATGATCTAATTACATATTTAAGGCCAGGATTTATTTTATTTACAGTTTTACAAACCCTCCACCAAGGTTTTGAATTTTTAGAAAAAAAAATTTTTTTTCGTTTCCGATGACAAATGTCGTTTACAGATTGCAAATATACTCGCACTTCCGGTTTTACGATGAAACGGCGGGTAAATATGCATTAGATAGATTGGTTTTTAAAATTCATGAAAGATTGCCTTTCAAAAGGTTTCACCCGTTCAAAGGACAAATAAAATGCTGGACTTTGTTACAATGACAAGCTGGTGAAAAAATTATGTATTCGTTTCAAAAGTAACTGTAAATTATTTTCATCCCCCAGGTTTTAAACTGCCCGTGGTAGCTATTGCATATTGCCAGGGACATTGTTTAGGTCTCTGTTATAGCTTACAGTTAAGCATTTTTAATTTTATTTCTTCAGATGTAATGAATAAAGCTAAAAAATGAAGTCCATTTGAGGAAGAAATCAATCCTGAAGATATATATGGAAAAAAAAATTCAACTATTAAAAGGCAAGAATATACAAATATATTCAAACGAGATCATTTGTATCAGCCAGAATAATTATTTTACATTTGCAAAAATGTACACCCCTCATGATATTGTACTGTTTTATGATAGGAACGTCGTTGCGCATCAAGTTAAATATTAGAACAATGTCTACACATTCACCTAACACACATTAAAAAATCAAATATATGAAACATTTTAAAGAATTGATTTTTTAAAATATATTTATATCAAATCGCACACAAAATTTATATAAAAATCTTATTTGAAATACAATTAAATGTTTTACTTTCCTATTTGTAAGCATTATGTGTCCAGTGGTAAGGAGCTTATTGATAGCATGACAGTGACATTTATGATAATTGTTTTATCAAAAAAAAAAAAACGATTTGCTGCAATAAGATAAACATAAAAAAATTTCCTTATAATGAACAATTCTTTTCAAAATAGATAATTTCACTGTGTATATGAGGTTTACTAAAAATATTAATGCTTTGAAATCTGCCCTTTGATAAGCAAGGTCTTGCTGTCAAATGTTTGTGAATTTCATGGCTTTTGGAAAACACGAACCAAATACAATAGCTGGAAAGTTGTTACATGATACTCAGGTGACATTTTAAGGTTGGGCCTCTTGTAATTTGATGTGCAAAGGGTCTGCATGAAAACAACATCGGATTTAATAATCATCCTGATAAAAAGTTTTTTGTATAATGTTTATATGTTGTTAAATATATTTAATTCATTGATTGAAAAACAATACCTTTATATCAGAGAATGCACAAATTGTAATGAAGACCATTAATCGAAATGTTATATAACCAATTTTAAAGTAATGTATAATTTCAGTGAAATGTAAAATAAAATTTTCATGGAATAAAAAATAAATGCTGTGCTTTGAGAAAGATTACAATTTATTGTATATGCAAAAAATGAAATAAAAGTTAAGGGTATATATGATATATATTGTCCTTGCATTTTTACAAGTGTGTAAGCTAGTTCGGGTTAATAAAAAAAATAGCATTATTAATATGAGAATAACTATGATTATAAAATTTGCAACTGGTAGCCCCATATCAGTAGGCATTTTAAATTTTATGATTGATATACTGTAGACAGTGTGTTTATATTGTCCTTTTGAGATTAGTAGTCATTTTAAAAATTGAACATAATGTTAACATGGTTAAGGATGAAAATAATTAAATTTCCCAGTGTGTTGTACATCTTTACTTAGGAATGAAAAAAATTGCATTAAAGAGCTAAATGCATGTATTTTGTAGCATTAAATGTGCATGACAGTGATGGGGATGTGAAGAGAATAGTCGGCCTCATTAATGGATTTAACATCTTGATTTCCCCCTTAATTCATTGACAATCAAACTGTATAGGGATATTCAGTGATATGGCTTAGCCTCAGATTAAATATAAAAGAAAGATCATAATTGATTTTGCTTGAAATCTCATAAATGCAAAATGAAAATGCTTGTATCATTATATGTACCTACTTGATTTCTTTTCTCAAAGTGAAGGTCTCTCATGTATTTGTCTAATTAAATTGCTGTAGAGAATAAAAGTGAATGACTATATATGATATATATTTTCTGATCACCCGTTGGCTTTACAAGTGTGTAAACTAGTTCACATTTTCAACAGTAACCAAGAACCAAGAGCATTTAACCTAACTTGGTACAAAACTGAAGGGGAATTATAAAATTTAAAATCTGGGCCAAGTCTCCTTACAAGGGGCATTAATGTAAATTTTACATTGGTGGGGTATTAAAAAATTACTGTAGACAGTGTGTTTATATTGTCCTTTTGAAAGCATCCTGGGGTAGTCATTTTAAAAATTGAAAATAATGTTAACATGGTTAATGATGGGGCCATAATTAAATTTCCTGAGCATTTTTACATAGAAATATATAGAACAAATCTTTAAAAATCTTCTTCTAGAACCACTGGGCCAAAACTTCAAACTTAGTGAGAACATACATGTATTAGTGTAGATATTAAATTGTTAAAATCATGACCCCCGGGGATGGGGATGGGCCACAATAGGGAATCCAAGATTTACATAGAAATATATAGAACAACTCTTTAAAAATCTTCTTCTTAGAAACCACTGGGCCAGGGAAGTGAAACTTATGTGGAAGCATCCTTGAAGGAATTAATTTGTTAAAAATGACCCCTGGGGGTAGGGCAGGGCCACAATAGGGAATCACAAGTTTTACATAGAATTAATATATAGAACAAATCTTTAAAAATCTTTTTCTCAAGAAATACTGGGCCATAAATGCAAAATGAAAATGCTGGAATCATCCTTGGGTATGTAGATATTAAATTATTAAAATCATGACCCCCAGGGGTAGAGTGGGGTTACAAAGGGAATCTCAAGTTTTGAATAGAAATATATATAGAACAAATCTTTGCTGCATCACCCAAGAAAATAATGTGGCCCATGGGCCTCTTGTATATTCATGTGAAAGATCAGTATAAAAAAATTCCTTGGTGAAAATACATGTATAAGGCAAACCTTTTTAGATCATTTCTTTTCCTAGCTATTACCAGACTTTATAGCAGCCTGTGCTTACACAAGATTGAATTTGAGAAATGTATACAGATATACATACATACACATTTTTAAATCAGAATTTTATGTCAGCTTATAGTGCATTGCCCAGTTTTACTCTACTTTTGTTTCAGTATTTGTGACAGTATCTGTAATTTAAAAAAAAAAGTATTTTAAAGTTTAATCAATCACAGTTTTAAAATACCAAGATGATCCATCAGAAAGTTTTTTCTCATAGTAAAGGAAGGATTTTCCTCAAGATTTTCATTGAGTCTGTGTTGTGACAAATGATTTGCCATGATAGATGCACATTGTTGCACATTTTTAATCTTGGGCAATTCATTAAGTTTTTCAATGTCCAGGAATTAATTTATATGCCCCCCCCCTTCAAAGAAGGGAGGGCATATTGCTTTGCTCCTGTCTGTTGCTTGTTCTGTCTGCCTGTCTGTCTATTTGTCCACCAAGTTTCTGTTCATTTTCCTCACAGAGGATATACTTACTGAAATCAAATTTCATATACAGATTTATCATTTTGTGAAACAAAGATCAAAACAATCATTTTTTGTATGAATTTGGACACCCAAAGTCATGTAGAAAATTGGAAACTTATGGATGTTTTTTTTTTTTTTTATATATTTCAGTCAAGTACAAGTAACAGATGAAGTTCGAGAATATCTTCGTAAGCCTACCTTTGATAACTGGCAGTGGGACGATCCTGAAATGATAATCCTACTGCGACAGATGTACATAGACCTTGATCTAATCTCCAGATTTAACATCGAGGTAAATCCAGACTTCTCAATATGTTTTCATATTCAAGGTTTGTGGTATTAAAAGCAACAAATGATTGTAGAAATACATATAGTGAAACTGTAGTAAAAATTCATGGTACAGGTAACATATAAGATATATATAAAGTCTCTTCAATCACATCCTACAGGCTAAAGAGGAAGTCATGTTTTGGTTGTGGAGGGGTAAATAAATGGAAGTCTTTTTTAAAGAACAAATGCTAATATATATTCTTAGTGAAAATGTAACCATTGCAAATTCATTTACTTAATTAGGAATTGTGAATTATAAAGGATTAATTAGAACTTCAATATGTTGTCCTTGAATGGTGTGATACAATTGTAATCATGATCCTGACTCCATGTCTAGCAAAATATGAAGGTAAAGCATTGAGGCTGCTTGTATTATTGATTCACTTTCATGTGGTATTGTAGTGATGATCATGAATATAATGAGAAAAAGGTAAGCTAAGCCTTCAAACATCTCATTTCACTTTGAGCATCTGATTCAAAGTCTTGACACGAACATTACTTATCTGTGGTATGAAACATCCTCAATTTTGAAATTCCAATGAAGGGTTCTGAAGTTTTGGACAGAAACAGTCATCTTCAGTTGTGTCTTATTGTCAGGTGATGTAGGGATAAACCAGAGAGACTGCAATGTATATGATATTCCTACCTCGATAGTGTGTGTCTAATGATTTCATTATCCAATCTTTGTCATGTCATTAGTAGATTGAACAGCTGAGATTTAATAGGGAAAATTCTTTAATGTCCTCTATTAAACACATGATCTCTCTTTAATGTTATCCATTAAACACACGAACTCTTTCAACCTGCTTTGTTTCATGATTTGATGCTTCGTTAATGAATCTAATGACTTTAGAAGTTTGAACAGGGATTGATTTTTCCTGTTCTTTAAAGCAAGCAAAAACAATATTGTATGCTTTTTATGCCTAAGTAATGCTATGTTTAATGTTTAAGTATAAAAGCCTTTTTGAACACTAAAAAACTTCTTCTTCAAATTGGCATAAATCTCCACACACAGTGGGACACATGAAGATTTTGATATGAATTTAACACTCTTTTGTGCTGTGGATTTATTGTTACAATAAAAACATGCATATTCACATATTGTACTATTGCACCAAATGAAAAATTTTCAAATGAAAATATAGGAAGTTAACTATTTGAAGGAAAAATAAAACAAAAGCCCCCCCCCCAAAAATAAATGTTTAATGATTTTGTTTTTACTTTCAATGCTATTTATTTCATTTTTGCAGATGAATGTGTTACATCAGTGGCTGTATGAGATATACAAAAATTATAACCAAGTGCCTTTTCACAATTTCAAACACTGTTTCATGGTTGCCCAAATGGTAAGTGAAATAATGTATTCCGGTATAGGTTTTGCATGCATGTTGTTCCTTAAGTCCTCAACCACATATTGGAAAAGGATAATGTAGTCAATGAAAATTGAGTATGACAGTTTTTTAGCTCATGTTAATGAATAGATTTCATCCTCAAAGCATCGACACTAATTACTAATTGCTAGTCTTACTTTCAAGAACAAAATTGCTGCTATTTGTCAAATAATAAAGGGAAGTTCGAAACATATAGTAAAAAATATTAAGATATCTTTAAAGCCTTTGGTTAGGTTGAAATGAAGTTTCCCATTGTGATTAATCTGCAGTAACAACAAAGTAACTTAGGCTTTGATTTTGTGTTAACTATGTAGACTTGATTTTGATTTGTAGATGTATGGTTTGACTTGGCTTATTGACCTCAGATCGGTGCTAGACGATGTTGATATTTTTATACTCCTCACCTCTGCAATATGTCATGATTTGGACCATCCAGGGTACAACAATGCATATCAAGTAAGCCAACTCAGTTTATAAGATGAATGAACTATGGAAAGTAAATGTACTGCATGGAGATCAGCAAAGTTGTTAATCATGCAGTCTTTTAATGTTATGATTATGAGTGTCTTGTGCATGAAAGAATTATTTTAAATGATAGCTGAAAAAAAACCCATTATGATAAAGAAACAATTAAATGATAGACAGTTGATGAATACCAAATTTATCTATGTGGATTAATGGTATACTTGGAAAACAATTTTTAGACTAAGCCTCTGTAATTGGATGGAAATGTTCTTTTATTTGATTAGGAGATATTTTGTATTGATTTAAAGTCGCTTGAGAATTTCCTTTGGTTTTCAATTTGGGAATGACTGTGTGCAAAATTTGGTATTTCTTCAGAAGATTCTCAATGTTACAATGAAGATCTAAAGTTCTATTAATTTAAAGTCCTGTTGCTGATGCTTTCTTTTAAAAAAAATTAAAGTAGAAAGGTTGTAGGAAAAAGAAAATGCTAGAGAGAAGAAAAAAATCCCTTCTAGCTTTTATAAGCTGTTCATTTTATATGGTCTGGTTGAAAACAAATACAAAAGAGAAAAAAACAAAGTAATTGATTTGCATTTAAGAAAGTCAATGTTGGTACATGTTCTATTATTGTTTACAGTGCATGTACATATATTGTTTACAGTGCATGTTTGGGGGATTGTAGATTCAAAGTTTTTTTTTATTTACTATTAGTTTTTGTTCCCTACAGATAAATGCTAGGACTGAATTGGCTCTACGATACAATGACATTTCTCCCCTGGAGAATCATCACTGCCACGTAGCTTTTGAGGTCCTGCAGAAAAGTCATTGTAATATACTACGCAATGTCTCCAAAGAAGAATACAAACGGATACGAGAGGGAATGATCCGGTAACACCTTTTTTTTTAAACACTTTGATATAATTTTAAAAATTGGTGTGTTACCTCGAGGGATTAGGAATATTCCATTATTTCAATATTCCAATATTCCAATATTTTTAGGTCACCTGAGTAAACTCAGGTGACCTATTGCTATCCGTTTTCGTCTGTCGTCGTTCGTCGTGCGTCGTGCGTTAACATTTGAACATTTTCAGCTTCTTCTCTGCAACCATGAACCAATTTCAACCAAATTTGGCACAAAGCATCTATTGAAGGGGAACAAAAATTGTGAATTTCATGATCCCTTGGGGCCTGAGGGGTGGGGCCAAAACCACTAAAATTAATGCAATCTTCAAAAATCTTCTTCTTTATGGACATCAGTCAAATATGATTGTTCAGCAATGAGTCCTCTACCAAAATTGTGAAATTCATGGCCCTGGGGTCAGGGGTTCTAGTGCTAGGGCGGGGCTAAATAAGTAGGTAGTGAAAATGCATTATTTCTTTGAAAATCTTCTTCTCTGCTCCTGGGTATTAAATAAACCAACTAAGTACATAGTTATGATGAGCAAGAGTGCCTCTACCAAAATTGTGAATTTTATGAACCCAGGGTCAGGTGTTCTGGTGTTAGGGCGGGGCTCTATTGGTTATATACAGTGAAAATACATGAAATCTTTGAAAATCTTCTTCTCTGCTCCTGGGTATTAAATAAACTAACTAAGTACATAGTTATGATGAGCAAGAGTGCCTCTACCAAAATTGTGAATTTTATGTCCCCAGGGTCAGGGGTTCTTGTTTTAGGGTGGGGCTCTAATGATTATATAGTGAAATGCATGAACATCTTATCCTTTGCTCCTGGTTAATATGCTAATGATCTAATTACATATTGAAGGCCAGGATTTATTCTATATTCAGTTTTACAAACCCTCCGCTCAAGATTTTGAATTTTCAGAGAAAAAATAAAAATTTTTTCTTTCCGATGTCAAATTTGAGTCGGGATCGAGATATCAAATTTACGAACTCGCACTTCCGGTTTTCTGAAACAGCGGGTAAATAAAGCTAGATCTAGATAGCTTGGTTTAGTGTAAAATTCATCGATAAGAGTGCCATTCAAAACGTTTCCCCCGTTCAAAGGACAAATAAAATGCTGACGATTGTTGCACAATGACATGCTGGTGAGATAATTATGTATTCGTTTCAAAAGTAACTGTAATTTTTTTTCCCTCCCCCATGTTTTAAACTGCCCGTGGTAGCTATTGCATATTGCCAGGGACATTGTTATAGCTTACAGTCTAAGCATCATTCTTCAGAAAAGGGTTGCTTATGCATCAGATATAATGAATAAAACTATGGGAGAAGTGAAGTCCATTTGAGGAAGAAATAATAACCAGAAGAAATTAAAAAAAAATCAACTATTAAAAGGCAAGAATATACAAATATATACAGGCATGTAGTATCATTTGTATCAGCCAGAAAAATTATTTTACACTTAATTGAAAAAATGTTGACTCTACTTCCCAATACTCCCTGTCTGTTTTATGATAGGAATTATAATTTTAGGCATCAAGTAAATTTTAGAACAATGTCTACACATTCACCTAACACATATTAAAAAATGAAGATATATTGAAAGACTTTTAAAGAATTGACTTTTTAAAATATACTTTGATCAACATTACAAAATTTATATAACTGGCCCAAACTGGCAGATGATGAAATAAGCAATTAAATGTTCTACTTTCCTATTTGTAAGCATTATGTGTCCAGTGGTAAGGAGCCTATTAGGAAAGCATAAAAAAGAATGTAGAAATGTTAATAATTGATTTATCAAAAAAAAAAAATATTTTATTTCCTTCTCCTTCGGAACATTTTTATTCTCATGTTCATAACTAAACCTAAACATAATCAAAGTACTCAGAAGTACAGAGAGCCGGGCTCATTTACAGAGTAGAATGGATTTCTTACATGAATCACTTTTATAATCTGATGAAAAAAATATTTTAAAACTATCAATATAAATGATAAGACACTGACAGTAAGTTTTGCAATCCTAATACCACGGTCCGATTTTGTCAGAATCAGAATTAATCTGGTACCGCAGCTGAATGTAAACAAACAGACCAGTCTGGTTCCCTCTCCTCCTTTACCTCGTATGTGTAGAGAACTACGGTAAATTATCAAAAATCCTTACGCTTTGAACTATGTTCTTTGACTTATGAAGTTTTCAAAGTCATTACTACTAATGTTTATTTTATATAGATAAAACTTCGTTTTATTTTTGTTGCTTTATTTAGCGTTTGTATTATCTCAAAAGCAGTTGAGAGTAAGAACTATATTTTTGCACGTAACTTTAAAATGGCGACTATGGGGTCAACATCCTGCCTTGAACAGGATCACATAAGCCAGTAATTGCTCTTTGAGAAATAAGCCCGGCTAAAAACTAATGCTGGCTTTATAATGAAGAAAGGGGCCTCTTTCAAAATAGATCATTTCAAGGCTGCTGGGTCAGGGGTACCAGGGGGGTACTTTGAAAAATAAATTAATGCTTTGAAATCTGCCCTTTGATAAGCAATGGTGCCTCTTTCAAAATTTGTGAATTTCATGGCTTTTGGCTTAAAACACGAACCAAATACAATCGCTGGAAAGTTGTTACATGATACTCAGGTGACCTATAAGGCCCATGGGCCTCTTGTTTTTTAAGTTGTGTAGACCAAGACCAAGCAAATTGTATTTGCTTGTTTGTTTATAGGTACCGGTAATTGTTCACTGTGACAATGGTAACTACTTATTTTTTTTAAAGGATAAGGTCAGGTACCAATGGGGTTTGAACCCACAACCTTCTGATCACAGAGTGTGGGCTTTAGCGACTGAGTATCTGTGACGTTCACTTATAGAAAAAAATACTACATTTACTGCCCTAACATATCTTGTATTTGTGGAAACATTGGAAGGTCATTTTTGCAAGGTCAAGGTCACTGGCAGAAAATTGTAAAATTGATTTCAAGTCCATAACTTTTTAATGGAAAAACATTGGAAATTCATGCTTAATACAAAGATTAATTTTAATCTGTGGCTTTTCATTTTCTTGAACCAAAATATTTGTAGCAAGTTTAGAGTTACTGTCAGAAAAAAATGCACTTGAGCACTCAAAAACAATTATATAATTTGCATAATTTTGAGTATTTGCTTAATTGTTACATACTTTATATTTATATATGTATTGTTCTTTCTCCTTTCAGATGTATTTTGGCAACAGATATGGCCAAGCATAATGAAATACTCAATAATTTTAAATCAGTCATAAAAAACTTTGATTTCAAAAATCAGGAACACAAGTCTCTGGTAAGTTTTTAAGTCATTTGAATTTTAAATCAGGTATTCTCAAGCCTAGGGTATTTGATGTTTGAAAAACAGTTTTTAAAATATCAATTTACGATAGTATTATGGGTAAAAATTCAAGGTACAATTTGTCTTACCTCTGTCCATCTAGCTGATGATGATACTCATGAAGGTGGCTGACATTTCAAATGAGGCGCGACCTCTAGGAGTTGCAGAACCCTGGCTGGATTGTTTACTTTCAGAATTTTTTAATCAGGTTGGGGGAAGTACCTGTGTTCTATGTAGTACTGATGGTGTGTTTTCCTATTATTGTTCTTCAGTTCAACTAAGAATCAGATGTGGATTAAAATTGGAGATTAAGATAGTTCACTGAGCACTTTTATAATGATTTTAATTTGTTATCCTTCACATTTTGATTCGCTCTGATATGTAAGAAATATAGATGTCTTAAGTTACCATAATTTCTACAACACTGTTTGCAATTTTTTAAAATATTTTCTATTGGTATCAAAGAGTTAAATGCGTGATAAAATGAATTCAGAGATAATTATCCTTTAATTCTGATTCTTGGTGTCAGAAAGGGATTTTTGTTTTCATTGTAGTTTTTTTCTTCTTTTCATTTTTGTTGGGTCCTTTTTAATTAGTCTTTCCATATTATAAGGACTGATGCTTTTCCAACTAGGTTTTTAAAAAAGTGTTGCTCTTCCAATGATTGCAAGATTAAATACTTGAATGTGTTTTACTGTTTCAAAAATTCCTGAGTCACAGTCAGTAACACAGAATAGCAAATAATAAATAGACTGACCTATCTTAGAGATTTTCAGATGAAACTGAAGCAGGTTATATGCAACATCCACTTAGTGTGCTTTCTAAATATTCTGGTAATGAACTGCTTTATTCATTCAATGAATAACTGAGACATATTACATTTGGATTGGTATTTTATTCACACATGCTAAATCAAATTCTGTGGAATTTCAAACAGTAATAAATCATATACATCAAGAAATGTGTTAAATCACATTATAAAGCTATTGTGAAATTTGATTCCCACAAAAGTGATATAAACACTAAATACAATATTTTTACAGACTTAAATTCTTGTTCAATGAATGAGATAAAGAGGAAGTGTTTGTTGTAAGAGAAAAGTTTCCACTGAATTGAAGAAATTAGAATTTGAAGTTAAAACTATATAGATATAAATTGTGCTTCTCCATCTTTTAAATGTAGTTACTTTTTCTTACAGCGGTTCTTATTCCTTTTAGTCTTGTTTTCTCTTCCATTTAATGTTTTTATTTATTATGTTTTGTGCTTTCCTTTCCCAGCTTTTGATGATTTTGTTAAAAGTGGCAGACATTTCAAATGAATGTCGTCCAATGGATGTTGCTGAGCCATGGCTTGAATGCCTTCTCCAAGAGTTTTTCAATCAGGTATATGAATAGATTGCTTCTTAGAGATTGATTGTTAATTGCATTTTTACATCCCTTGACAATTTTTCATTCATACATGGTGTTGCCATGTACAGTTAAGGGGATTCAAATTACATGTAGATTTTGATCAGCACTAAGAGCCATTGAGTAGTTCTTTGTTAGACTTTGAATTGAAGCCATTGAGTAGTGACAATTCTATATCTTGCCTACCATGACATATATGGGACCTTGGTTTGTATGGTTTCATCCAAAAGTGACTTTTTTTTCTTGTGCTTGCAATTGGCACTTAGCCAAGGAACAGCCACTACCTATGTTAATATTTTTGACATAAAACAGACCCCGGAGAATTTCAGAGGTTTGATCAGGTGCCCAGGAGGATTGAGCATCTCCTGTCAATGGGTTACACCTACTTTGAACCCTTTGGATATCTCAGGAAGATGGAACATTCCATGGACAAATTCAGTATAAAAACAAAGGCCTAGTGCAGTATGAAAGAAGTCAAGAAATGTGACCCATTTATAAAGTTGTATTTGCCAATAAATTCCTTGTAACAATCAGAGAAAGTATGAAATGCTGGGCCAGGCATCAAATGAGGTTGTTAATTTCCCTTAACATTGATATATTTTACAGTAGCCCATCTTTGTGTAAAAACTGTTCATTCTCAGACCTTGCTCTTGAGTACCCGGTATCGAATAAGTAATTAGACAATAACACAATTTGCAGGTGATAAGGAAATATTACTACTTAAATATGGAAAGATTATGATGGAAAAGTTTGTCATCTTGTTATTGTCATACAGCTTAGTTGTAAGTTGGCCATATATTGTCTTCAGTTAGTAAAACATCCAAATTTAAAACAGATGTGGCAGACTCTGTAGCATCTTTTATTTCAAAATGTGTCCTAAGACTAGCAAACTTTGCACATCTTTTTCAGTAATGTCATTGCCAAGGGGTGCGAGGTGCATTATGAGTGACCCTTCCGATTTTGGGCAATAAAAGTGCTGATTTAAAGCTTTTTGCTGGTATTTGATGATGTCTCATATGAGAGAAATATGTAGTCAAAATGTAAACTCACAATCAATCAATCAAATAGTGCTTGAAATTAATTTCATGGTGTGCTGGAACCATCCAAAATAGAACTGTTTTTTAGAGGAAAAAAAATTTTGGTTTTGTCTATCCCTTTCCAGAAACCTGGAGATATTCTGTTTAATTTATGAAGTAAAAAAGGCATTTAACCAATGTAAAATCATCTGCCCCTTTCCTCTGATTGAAATATTTTTTGTGATTTTATTGTCAAATTTGTAAAGGTAAGAAGTCCCATTAAATACCTGAAATTAGGTATTAAATTCCTAATTGTAGCTTTAATTTTTTTAATTTGTTCCTTAAATTTTCCCTAAATTTTGCAAGTTCTACAGCCTGTCTTTTCAGCATACCTTGTGGACAAAATTTGACATGAATAGCCTTTTAATTTAACAGATTTATGAACTTAAGGAACAATAGTGATAAATCATCCCAGTGAGAGTTGTCTCTCCTACCAGAGTATCAGTGAACCTTAATATTGTATAATATTCCTTTGTCTATTTTTCTTTCATTTATCTTTAACCAGTCTTGTTTGTTTGACACTAAAATGAGGGTCGGTCAAGAGTGCTTCCATTTTCTTGACATATATGTATTACATTTCTATATTTTTTGTTTTCTGTAAATGATTTAATGATTGATATTGTTTTAATATTGTGAAATAAATCTGTTGTAGACATTTGTGAAGTTTTAATCTGGATACATGGAACAGAGTTCTAATTTAAAGATCTAAAAATGTTAAAGAAATGTAAAAAATTTAAATCCTCTCAGTACATATAGTACTGTATAATTGTCCTTCTATGAATACATTGTTTCCAAGTTGATGATGTTTTTGTTTTATAGAGTGATGTGGAAAAATTGGAAGGATTACCAGTGGCCCCATTCATGGACAGAGAGAAAGTGACCAAATCATCTTCACAAATAGGATTTATCAAGTTCGCACTGCTGCCCTTATTTGAGGCCCTTAGGGAGCTTTTTCCTGTTATCGAGGTATAGCAGAGAATTGTATTTACCTCAGTATTTCATGTAAATAATTTTATAATTATATCTGATACAGTGAATTATGTCATTTGTCTGAAAGGCTTTTATTACTTTAGAAAAAAGTTCAGCCACAAAAAATGGGGGCAAAATATTGATCAGAATATTGAATTCTGAGGACATCAATTTCAATGATTGACAAAACAGTTTTAGCAAAACAGACCAAACCAAAACTTACTAAATATCAATATTTTAATAATTTCAATATATCCTACCTTCACCCTCACCCCCTTAAAACGTATCCAAAGAGTTAATATAATCACATTGGTTAAAATTTATGTAATGTGAGTTGCATAGGTGATATGATTTAATAATAGTATTCATAATAATGACCCAATGTTTTGATGAAATAGATACAATTTCACGTCTATTTTTTGTTGAAGTGAAAATCATTATTCTTCTCTGCAAGTGTTATGTTTTCTTCCATCTGTAGAAAGACATAGTTGAACCAGTGAGGACAGCTCTGGAATACTATACAGACATGCAGAAAGCCTTGGAGGAAGAAAAAAGAAAGAAAAGAGACACTGTCAAACAAAGAATCGACAAAGATATCATCAAAAGCAAGATACAAACGTGATAGCAGTCTGTCTTATAGGGTAATTTACAGGAAGAGCTGATGTATCGACAAAAATCTTCTGAAGACTTTATACTCATTACATACCTCATCTCTTTAATTTAGTGAATTGAACTGCTGTAGATGATTTTTTTTTCAGTGTTCATTTAAGTTGTGTAATCTTTTTGCCTTTGTAATTGATGCAGTGTTGTTTAAAGGAGAAAAAGATCCGACTTGAAGTGCTTGAGGCATGGAATTTAAAGTATACTGTTTTATATTGTGGATTCTTTTTTTCATTTAATGAAATATGTTACTCTTGTATGCAAATTTGCAAGCATTTTTTAAAAAAAAGAAGAGATTTTGCTGATTTTTTTGCAAATTTGAAGTGAGCTGAATATATTGCTTTTGGTGTAGAAATTAGCATATTGATTCTCCACCAGTTTTATGTTGTATATTTTGACATAATTATGAACATTTTTGTGCTGTTATATTTTTAATGGCTTTAACAATGACTAAATTTTTACATGCTCCAAAATATTCTTCCAATGTGTTCAAAAATTGTTTTCTGTTTTACTATTTTTTATCTGTCAGCATAGATGTGATTTTTTATATTCAGGAAACTTTTTTGAACTCAATAACTGCAATATTTTGTTTTGCAAATTAATGTAGAATGGATCTTGACATGCAATAGCAGACCACTGTTTTTATATGTCACCTTTGAATGTATAAACTTTTATCTCTTTGCATTTTAAATGTGGATCTTGAAATTAATTAGGGCCTTACACTTATTTGCAGATTCTTAATTCATAGTTATCAATAGTTTCTTCATCAGCCAAACAAATTTTTCTTTTTATTGCCAATCAATTTTACCTTTGATTTTGATGAAATAATGTTTTCAAATAACAAATCATGCTTAAGGTTAGATGACAGGTTCCTCAAATATATGTTTTTTGTACCTTGGTATTATGTAAAAAATTATTCATAATTGTCAATCTATTGTAATCTCTAAATTGTTTTCAATATGTTTTAAAAAATTAGTACACCTAAATTTGTGACATTAGCAATCAAAAGATCATCCATAAGGATAAGATATATCATTTCTGGCATCTTGCTCAAATGCCTGGTGAGGTACCTCAATTTTTGGTTAGGAAACTTGTTTATGTAGCTATAGTTCATTGACAAATTCTTAAGAAAAATTATATATTTATTATGTATACACTTCTGGCCTTAAATACTAAATTTGGTTCAAAATGTAGCAGATCTTGGAGTATTACCTACTTTTGAAACACTTCAACCTTAACCATATCTTGTAATAGTTGGTACTACGGCATTTGACATGTAAGTTTCAAATATATGCTTCATGTCAGGACCTTCCATTGGACACCAACAATATTGATTAGACCTTGGAAGTGTAACCTATATATTAAAAGCTTGAACCTTATTCACGACTATAAAACAGTTCGAGCTAGGTCTTTCCATTTCTCTCGTAAATAAATTAGTGACAAAAGACCTTCCATTAGATATCGAGATTTTTTTTACCTTTTGATGGGGACCTTAAAGTTTGATCTTCCTTTATAAGATGAAACATTGGTCAAAGCTTTTGCACTGTTGGAGCTAGGACGTTATTTTATATGATCTTTTCTTGCATCCTAAGATTTCTGATCATGACATTGAACCTTTGAGATTGACTTTGCTTTGACAAAAATTTCTAAATGGTTGGTGCAAAGGCTTTTGTATTTGTATAACATTGGCCATAAGGCCAAAAAAAATTAATCAATAGTTTCTCGGGCACCGCCGCATCACTTCAAAAACGGCCGCATTGATCAATTTTATTGACATATTGAAAAGGGAAATAACTCGATTTTCTATTTTTCCAAGTTGAAAAAGAAAATTGAGTTATTGCCCTTTTCAGAAATGCTAAGGTAGACGTTTTTATTAGAAAAACAATATATTTCTTCTAAATTTACAATATTTTATGAATTAACTTTTAAATCAATGTTTAGAATAACATTATTTAAAGTTAAAGACATATTATAAATAACTTCAGAGAACAAAAATTAAGAATTAGTAGACATTATCATTTTAGTGAACAAATGGCTAAAAAAAAAAAGTGTAAGACCTGCTTCAAAAAAAAAAAAGCCTGCCTGCCGCATTGAATTTTGAATTTTTAGGCCTGAGAAACTATTGATTAATTTTTTTTTGGCCAAACTATTGCACTGTAGTCTATGTCCCATTCCAGAATTGTGTTGACATCAGGGGCATAGTGTTTCACAAATACATTTTTTTTTCTGCTTTCCTTTGCAAAAATAGAGGATTCCTTGCTGATTCTTTTATTATTTGTATTATGGAGATTAAAATTACACTTACAAGTAGAATCTATATTAAAGCAGGGAAATATGTTCATTGATTCTCATCATCCTATACAATCTTCTACGCATGTTATTTAATTGAAGTTTTCTGACAACTGTATTGGTTGTTTACATATTATAAACTTATTTGGGGAAAAAATCTGTTACAATGTAGCAGGTTAACTTTCCTTTCACAGCTTTGTAATAAAGATGTAGTTGTTTACTCTTGTTTACAGGGATAGGGCACAATGTTAATGTTTTAAAAGACCAAAATACATTTAATTAGTGTTGTATTCAAATATACCATACATTTTTCTCTCCTAACACTAATTTTTTTTCTAGACTTAAGAAATGTTGAGAGTGTATTTGTAGCATAAATGTGATATTTGGCAATTTAGTTGTGTTTCACACATTTATACGTTAGATTTTATATTATTTATTCTTAATTATCCGGTAATAGCATATTTTGTTTTCTTTTAAATAAAGAATTTGTTAACTGTTATAGTATTTGTTTTTATTCCACCAGCAATTATTTAACTTTGAATTAATAGCTTTTTTTTATTATACTACATATATATAGCTTTAGGGATAAATATATCCCAAACTACTGTTAACTTAAAAAAAAAGACAGAGTAAGATACCACAGTTCTAAAATTAATCTGTCTGAATTTGTCATACTGCATGTGTAATTCAGAAGCTGACAAAAGTTTCCTTGATAAAAATAAGTTTTATTCAATAATGCAATCATTTCATCATTCAGAAAAAATGTACAGTGAACCGAAAATACCTACTGTGAAATCACTAATTTTTGTGGTGTCAATTTTTGTTCTTTTTGAGCTGCCAAGAAAAATATTTTTCTAAAACCTGTAAAATTTGCCCCCGCCCCATACGAAAATTTGTGTAATTGTACAGTATCTGCTTTTTAAACTCGATGCAGCAATAACAAACGAGTCTGGGAGGAACACATTGCGAGAAATTGTAACTCATTACCGCGTCTCTACGAGATAGTCCAGCTCATTTAGGATCCATCTTCATTGCTAATCAATATATACATGTATATCATTTGCCATGTTGTCTGTATTAGTTATGTACAGTATGATTCCATTTAGCTTGGAATAAAGTACAGTTATAAAGTTGGGTGTTGGACTAACAGACATAAAATTTATTCAGTTTCAAATCATGACCTTGGCGGTACATGTAGGTTTAGACTACAATGGGCGATCGAACTTTTCAAAGGAATATTTTAGAAAAATCAATGATTATTAATCTTCTCAAAAACATCAAAGGCTTGATTGTCATACTTGAACAGAAACATCCTCTGGGATATGTATGTATTTGATATTTGACGAACTAGGAAACCAAGTCCGAAATATCTGATGTTTTCCAGACTTTTAAAATAATTTTGATATTTACCTACCACGTGAAAAATCAAAATCGTAAAAAAAACCAAGAAAACATATTTCAGACCATAGGAAAACGGCTCCATTATGATTAGTGGACATTCCGCCGCCCAACTCAACTCGATGTTTGATAACTTGCAAACCGAATTAAATGTCAAACTCGCAACTTATCAACAGCACAATGCTTCTTAATCTCACTAATATCGTTTTAAAGACATATTACTCTCCGTTTCGATACAGCTCTCACAGGTTTTTAAAGTGCACAAAATCAAAACAAATATGCATCTTAGTAACATCTACATCTAACTATTTATATCTTTACGAAGACGCGGTCTTCTCAGACCTTTACTTTTCGGTGAGCAGCGCTGGCGGTAAAAATTAGGATGAAAGAGATAAAAGGGTGTGTACCAGCTTGTTTTCAACTCCCTAATTAGACCAATCCGACTACCGTAGAGGCCCTGAGATCTAATGATCCCAACCGGCATAGCTTCAACCTTCGTTGGGGTGTACTTACAAGCTGGACGATAGCCGTTTAGAAGCGGAGTGTGGTGAGCCCCTGCTTGAAGGATACCAAGTCAGGAGCCTCAGCAACGGATGCTGGTAGTCTGTTCCATTCTGGAATTGTCTTAAGGAAAAAGCAAAGTTCATGGTGGGTCATTCTACGGATAGAGGCCCAAACGAACTTTCCAAAATTCAGAATTCATATTCCCTATTTTATTCAATTTTTCTGCGTTATTTACTAAATCTAACTTAGAGGAAACCATTTCAACATGCAGCAGCAATGTTTAAAATATTTTATTGCTTATTTTGAGACTTACACATACATACATGAAAAAAATTTGTCATTACCGCAACAGACGACTAAATCATCATAAAATATTGTTACAGTATTAAACCAATTTTTTCATAGTTTGAAGTAATAAATCTTAGTAATATCTTGCCTTCATGATTATTTGAGTGAAATATTCGCACATTATTTTTCGTACTGTGGTGTTAAATTTACGTTTTTAAAAAATGCAAAAGAACCATTGGTCAATAAACCACTTGAGAAGTGTATATGATTATTTTACTTCCATTTTTCTACGGTGTGAGATTTCACGGACTCATGCATGTTGATTAAACACTTTATTACATTTATTATTAGATTAATTGATAATTAATTGACCTATTTTCTCCTCGTTATGGTAATGACAATGCGTTGCGGTAGTGACAGTGCGTTCCGGTAAATAGTTATACAACCCCCTCCCCCAGTTATCATGCCTTATATTTTCCAAATTTATTTAGAAACAGTCATGGCTTGAGCAAAATTAATTTTTAAAATTCATCAGCATTTGAAAACAATTGTTCAAAACACTGTATATTAGATGTAGGTTAGTCTCGCCTACCTCCCAGGACTGGACCCACATATAGGAGTTAGGCCTTGTAACAACCTCTTATGCATATTTTAACACTACAATAGTGTTGTAAAATCCATGCACAAGACAATCTAAAGATGATTTGTCATTACCGTAACACTGATGTCATTACCGAAACGGTTTGATTCAAGGGATTTGTTTCGGTTTCGGTAATGACATTTTGAAATGTTAAACAGAATATAGAGGGCGCTACTTGCCAAAAGGGGTTAAATAATGTACAACACAATTCAAAACCAATCTATATTTCTTTCTAAACAATTGCATTTTTCCTAGGTGATCGTACTTTTATTGTAGCAAGCATTCGGTAATGACACTGAATAAACATACGCTTGAAAGTAAGACCATTTACAATGTAATATCTGCTTACTTACACACAGGAGAGCGTAATGCCTTGTATCAAAGATGGTGGTTTCTGAAACTTTTAACCACGTGGCTTCTTCTTTTGGATTATCTTTCTTGTCTCTTATATTTTGCAGTTTTATCTCACCGTTTCGGTAATGACAAGAATATCAGGGATTTATTCTTAAAATTTCATAAACCAGGTATTGCTCAACACAAACTAAAATGGCGGGACACCATTTGGGCCTCTATTCGTAGAATGACCCGGTGTCTGTCCTAGTCTTATGCTGATTTATTATCTTCAGGGTATGTGCTGATCTTGTAGCTCTAGTTGTAAATTAGATGTACATGTAATTGTCTGATGGTATATCTACTAGGTTGTTGTTTATCTTGTATATCATGGTAAGTTGAATTTGCATCTACTTGATGATAGAGATTCCCAATATAAAGAGACTAACATATCTGTTACGCTGCTGGTATTGCGATAACGCCTGGTGGTAAATCTGGCTGCTCTTTGTTGTACCATTTCAATTTTGTTTATAAGATTTTTGTTGTGGGGATTCCAGATCGAAGCACAGTATTCAAGATTTGGTCTTACTAATGTGAAGTAAGCTGCTGATTTAGTGTCCTGGCTCGTGATGTTCAAATTTCTGCGCAGGAATCATAGCATGCTGTTCGCTTTCTTCACTACCCTGTCGATGTGATTATTCCAACTTAAGTCTTTTGTGAGGTCTACGCCTATATATTTGGTTGTATCTGCTGTTTCTAGTTGTTGTCCGTCAAGATCGTAGTTATGTATGATAAGGGATCTAACTCTTGTGACTCGAAGGATGTTGTATTTATTGGGATGGAATGACATACCCCAGATTTTTTCCCACTTTGCTAGTTCAATAAGATTTTTTAGGAGGAGTTCCGTGTCTTTCTTTGTGTTTATTTGTCTGACTACTTCTGCATCGTCAGCAAATAACCTCGTTCTTGAAGTAACACACTCCGGCAGATCATCAATGAAGAGCAGAAAGAGTAACGGCCCAAGGACATTGCCCTGGAGCACGCCACTTATCACACACACACCCCTCTCCGATGTTGCGCCCTCTACTTTAACATGCTGTGATCTTTCATTGAGGAAGGCTTTAATCCAATGGTAAGTTGTTCCCCCAATTCCGTAAAAATCCAGTTTGGTGAGTAGCCTTTGGTGCGGAACTTTATCAAAGGTCTTGTTACCCTCCTTTGTCTAATGATGATGCTAGCTCATGAGTTTAGTGTGAGTAGCTGTGTTTCACAACTTCTGCGTGCTCTGAAACCATGCTGGCAATCGGTGAGCATGCTGTAAGTGTCCAGATGATTAAGGATGATCGTAGTTATAATATGCTCTTGAAGTTTACAGCATACGCACGTTAGAGATACAGGGCGGTAATTACTGGCTTTAAATCTGTCTCCTTTTTTGAATATCGCAGTTACATTTGCATTTTTCAAGTCTATAGGAATATTGCCAGGATCGAGAGTTTTCTGAAAAATAGTTGTCAAGTATGGAGCGATGTTATCAGACAAGTCTTTTAAGATTCTGGCCGTGATCAAGTCTGGCCCGCAAGCTTTATTTGGATTAATTTTCCTGAGGAGTTTGAGGACACCAGTTTCATTGACATGTTTATCGGATATTGATGGATAGGGATTCCCAGATGGTTTTGGAATGTTTTGTGTATCCTCACGAGTAAATACTGATTCATATTGTCTATTAAGGATGTTCACTTTATCTTTTGGATCGTCATGCATTTTGTCATTTTCTTTAAGGGATGCTATACCACTTTTGTCTTTTCTCAGGCTCTTAATATAGTTCAAAAACGTTTTTGTTTCCCCGGGTTCTGTTCGCTGTCAGGATCCCCCACCTCAATCAGGTTGTGTATATAATCCCAGTATGCCTTTCTCTGAGATTTCTTCGCTGCTGCTCTGGTTTCTTTGTATTTCTCTTCGCCTTTCATTTTATGGGAAGATCTTGTTCTTTCGAATAGCTTGTTTGAGAAAACTACGTTTTTGACGTTACGTTGTAAAGAATCTGAGAACACTGACAATATAGTTCAAGCTATTCGCACAATTGTTAGCAAAAACTATGTGTTTAAAAGTGTTATGGATACATTTTTATGAATGGAGAAGATGCTACAAACCGTGTATAAAAATAAAAAAGCAGAGTAATTTTGAGAAACTTTCTCGACGTTGTGTGCAACAAGTCTCATCGTCTCAATCCACGGTTCGGAGTTCGCCTTAGCTATCTCCAGAATGGGAGAGGATCGTACATTTTGGCCTTTGTGTTGTTCTCAGATGTAAAGCTCCGAGGTCGCTTGTACATTTTACATACAAAAATTAAAAACATTGGGTTCAAAATACAAAGAAAGTTATCTTAAACTCAATAGGACCAAGATTATAGTTGAATTGATATACACAGGTATATCCAATGATAACCAACTTTTGAGGTATGTAGAAACAAAAGAAAAAGTGGTTAGGACGGTCAGCTAACTGTGACATATCCCAGCTATATCTGTGTTCGAGGAAAAGTGCTTCAACTGTATGTCTCTAGTTAAAAATCAAAATATGGCATTAGATATAATATAAACAACAGATTACTGTTTGTCATCAGTTCAGCTCAGTATCTATTTTCGTGTTTATTCCAACCCCATCCCATGTTCAATTTTTGCAGATTTTTGTTGCAGTCCCTTCATGCATTTGTGAAATTTGGTTTTTACTTGTTGTGCTATGACTAACAAGTCCCAGATTACAATGGCGCCGATGTAGACAACGATGATGATTACAGCAGAACTTCCCATAAACTGACTCAGGGGTCGCGTATCTCCCGCACTATACTTCTTCCTTAGATAACGACTCGTAGTCGTTTTATCAATTTTCAATTTCGCTATATCCTCATTTGTTATGTTGGATGATGAATTTGATAATGCTGTGCATAAGCAAGATCCGGACGCTGAAGGTGTTGTTATGGACGAACTCAAGTAAATTGTCATCAACATAGTCGATGTGACAGTCAGAGTCGATGTGACGGCTAGAGTCGATGTGACAGTTGGACAAAATGAAGATAACGAAATCAAAGATGTTGACATTGAATTTATCGAAGTGGTAGGAGCGGTACTTGTAAAAGAAGATACGATTGTAACTTGTGTTGATGGTGTTGCTGAAGTAGACAAAGAACTTGACAACGTTGTAGAAGTCACGCTACTTCCCGGTGGTACACAAGGATGTTCTAGGGATCCTAAAAATTAAAATCATATCATTTAGCGTTATATTGTATACTGTAGCTAAGTTATATGATGACGATGATATGTAAAAATGCACGTTATGGGCCAACTAACAAATAAATTGTATAATAACAAAGAAGACAACTTTATTTTTTCTCTTAGTTAACATTCCATTTTTATACACAATGTTATACTATTCCAGTATGGAGTTTAATTCCCAAAATTTAAAAGCTTATTCAATTCTCAAGAGCATGCTCCGAATAAGATTAGTTTTAACCAGAAACAAGCTACTGACCGATAAGTTGATGTTAGAGACATTTGAAAAACCTCCATAAAATTGTTACAATGACCTTGCTTACAGTTATAACCTATCATTCGGTCGTATTTTGGCTTATGTGTTTCATACCGATTGTTAGTCCCTATATAAGTTTCTTTTTAGACTGAATTTACCCTAACAAAAATTTACAGTCTTTTAACTAGAGTAAACTATATTTGACTATAGTAAAAACTTTGGTTTTTTTATTTACAATGAATCATAATTCTAAAACTTCTTTCGATACTGTAAGGCTTAAAATCTCCTAAATTCGATATTAATGTCAAATTTTGTAATAAGATGTAAATATACAAGTAGTAGTTCCATTAAATCTAGTAAATACATGAATATCCACTACTCACCTAACTCACAATAGCAAAGAGATGGGTAAGTGGAGCCACACTTCCTATTATGCCATGGATGTGGTGAAGTCACAGACAGCACAACGCAGAATTCCAGCTGTGCGATACCATCAGGCTGTCCATTCGTGTAGTCCCAGTTAAAAGTGTATATAGGTACTCCATCCCATTGGGTAAACTGATTATTTTCTGTCCATGACCTGAGGCCAACAAAGACATCGGTACCTGGACTGAAAATTACAATACTGAAGTCTTATTATAATATAATTGTATTATATATTACCGTTATATTATTTTAGGTTATCATATAGTATGTTTTATTATTATATGATTTAAAAATTCCCATCTCTCTGATTGACTGAGATGTAACTGTTTGATATGAAATACAATGTTATATTTCCCTCCATACGACTTTCCAGACTATCATAAGACTTTGATTTTTTACAATGTGTGCACACATTAAAAAGGGTTTGGGGAGGGGAAGGGCACATACTTCTGCATCCCTTATCCCCATCACACCCAATGTTTTATGTGTCTGAATGATATGTTCACCTGAGTGGAAGTCAGGTGCAAGTGGAATCAGTTTTCAAAACTTTGTTTCCCATCAATTTGTAAAAAAAAATATCAAAGCCTTACGATAGTCTGGAAAGTCGTATGGAGGTGAATGTAGCGTATTTTTTTTTAAAATTATCCTCGTAAAGAATTCATCATCAAAGTAAGCATGGTCACTACAATGATGTAGAACTTTTAAATTTATCTCTGCCAAGAAGATGAAAATTGAAGCCTATGTGAAAATTGTGCTTCTCTACATAAATCGCCGAAGAATTCATGTAAATGATATGATTTTTATATGTAGAAAGAATAATCTTTAATGCTGTATAGTTTTCAGATGAATTCATAATAAAATCGGAGAATTTAATTATAACAGCCAAACAAATCGATCGAAACCTGTAGGTACACCATATACAATGTATATCAAATCTAAACTTTGTGCAAGCCATCATAATATCTGAAGATGCCAGATTTACACTACAAGACATTTCTAAAACATAAAACATTTCATTATCAACATTTTAGAAAATTCTGAAAATGAATATAACAATATTCCTATCATATCTTGCATTATTAAAGATCTGACCCCAAGACCATAAACTGAGAATAGACTCGAGCCAAAATTTCAATTTTTTTTTAACTTTTGAAATATTAATTTTGATGACAAAACACAATTTTCAACATATGTTTAAATTGAAATATTGTCCAAACCTCTTAATTTTTGATAATGAATGTGTTATAAATGACAAGTTATTCCAACTCAAAATTTTGACGTAAGTCTGTTCTCAGCTTATGGTCTCTAGGCCCTGATATGCATCCCAAAGCTTTTCAATGTAGCAATTCTCGAGAATACATGTGTAATTCAGTTTTGACACTGTGTACGGAGATAAAAGAAAAAAAAAACAGGCATGTGTAGATAAATTATCGTAGAAGACAAGGTAATAAACAGTTGACCAGCACATTTCCTCTGAAAGTGTAAATGAGTGCCTTTCTGAGGAGAGGGGTACTGAGTGTAATTCAAAGTTAGATACTTTGTCTTTGTGTTATTATTGTACTATGGGTTAAAAAAATTATTTTCGAAACAAGTGCCTATGGAAAAATTAAACATTATTGAGGAACGTATAATCAGACCTTAAACTTTCTAGATTAATAAATTTTTTTGCCTCAGGTGACGAAGTCACTGTATAGACTGGCAAAAAACCAGCACATGCGCAGATCTAGAGGGGGTGGGGGTGTGGGTCCGCCCCCCCCCCCCCGGAATTTGCAGAGTTATTAAATCTATATGCAAAATCAAGTAAAAAGCGACCTTGGACCCCCCCCCCTCCCAAAAACCCAGACCCCCCTCAAAAACTTTGATATGGTGAAGTTGGTATGAAAAGTCAGATGTATTAAGAAGATTTGGAAGTCATCAACTCCCCCCCCCCTCCCATTAGGTTTTACAGGTTTTGGCGAGGAAAGGCCTTTTTTTGTTTTGTTTTTTGTGATTATTGTACAATTGTACAATATAAAACCAGAGGAATATAATTGCTCTCTTTAACGTATAATACCAAAGAGAAGTATACTTCTTAATAAATATGGTCTTCATTGATAGATCTTTACATTTCTTTACCTCCAGTGATTATCCATACTGTCACTTATAAAAGTAAGGAAGGTAGAGCCCGCTTCCATGTACGCCATGAAACCTCCAGAGACATTACATGCCAATGCGCCATTATCTGCAGTGTCACTCGATGACGTCACCCAGTAACATAAATTCAGCGTTGCGTAATGTTTAGCATATGGACTTTGCAACATACAGATAGAGTCTGTTTGATGGGTTAATGGAACTGCAAATAAAATAACGTGTTGCGTTAAGATATCATATTTTTTATTTTAAGGGATGAATTTCATTTTTGAGAAATTCATGAGTACATGAATTACGACGCTTCACGCCTGCATATTTCTTGAAAAATGCAGTCATGATGCATTGTTGTACTTGTACCTTATGAAGTCTCAAAATTAAATTCTTATCTTATATTTACATTATCTTTATGATGATTTCCCACATATTTTTGTAATTTAATTTTTTTTTTTTAAAGCTGCACTACTTTTTTTTTTACTTCAATAACATAACAATGGAAATATTCTTACTTTTCCCATGCCCATGGTTGTTTATGAGAACATGAAGCTTTTCTAATTTGCAAAGTATTTTATGGAAAAATGTTTTGAAATGTAAATATTTAGAAATAATCATTAAAGTTGACGTTTAAAACACCCTAAAAATGTATAAGTAAGACATGGTTAAGTAAGCAGGAATTTTCTTCGAACACTGGCTTGAGATAACATTTGACAGCTTAATTTACCTGTAACTGTCCACTAAGTTAACAATTAAAATGATTCCGTTTGAAAAGAAAACTTTGGATTGCAAACAACCTATTGAAGTCCAATAAATACCTACTAGACACTGCTAGCTTAATAAAATATGCAACGGATGAGAAAAGTTCTAAAAGCGTACAGGTTACAGGCCTCAATCCGTCCATTCGGTGGGAAGAAAGATCTATTGTCGGACTTATAATTACGGCCCTCCAGTAGTTCTTTCTTGTCAGTCAGAATGGACAGTTTAAGGTCTATAACCTTTTCATAATAGTCAAGGATGCGGACGCTTTCATACAAATTCCTGCCGGATGTTCATGACCGAAAACAAGTGTACATTAAATCGATGATAGCAATTTTACTAGCAAACAATATCCTTCGTTTAAATATTAGCATTATTCGAGGGTCATTTACTTAAAATAGTTCTCATCCAATGCGTTTTTCTTGCAAAGATACTTCTTTTTGAAGTTTTACATATTTTTAAAAACTGCCGATACCCTGCTGCTTTATCATAAAAAAGAAAGTACAAAGGCATACTTATATGAACTGAAACCGGATGACACCGTCATCTAGAATTTTTTCTAGTCTCGGTAGATTTCAAATATGGTGGATGAAGTATGGCAAACGATCTGGGAGACCAAACACAATTTGCAATAAATTATATGTTATAGAAAGAATGGCAGAATATAAACGAACAAGTCGTTGCAGCTTTTATGATATTATAGTAACTAAAAGTTATTGATTGCAAATGATAAACGAAAATATATTTACATCAGTGGTACATTAGGTTTAATATATAATTAAGAATTTAAAACAATGAAAAAAAAAGTTTGGTCGTTTTATGTCGATGGTAAATATACAATTTTCTATATTCGTTTAAATACTGGCCAATACACAATAAAAAGGTATTCATCTTCAGTACCATATAAAAGTTCAGGGACTTTGATTTAAAAGAATACTGTTCCATTTACCTCGATTGGTAAGTCAAACTTTTTAGTTGTAAATCTGACTGATGTAATCAAAGTTTTTATCGACAAATTGGAATTTAAATTGTTTTCAGTTGTTAAAATACTATTGGTATACAAATTAATCATTTTGCCGTCATTAGAGTCAGCACAATTTGGGGTCACTTTCTTCTGAAATTGATTATGTTAATGCATAACATGGCCTTTTTTAGTAAAAACATTTTCCATTTAATAAAACAAATATTCCCTTTTATTATTATATCATAAAGCAAATACAGTTGCATAAAAGTGCTTTGACAGCATTATTGTCTTTGCATTAAATTCATTTACGTAAGTTGATACCTTCGTATTTTAGGTTTTCATGAAATTTTTAGAAATTCTTCAAAAATCGAATGTTTGAAAAAAAAATCAATCTTCAAATTCCAACTTACAAATTGAACCAGTGTTTTAGTTTATATTTTTCATATGTAGGTAAAAACATTGTATTTATCAACCATTGTCTGAAATTTAAACTTATTACAGATTCAATACATGTATTAACTTTTTGCTGTTTGCAAAGGAAATCCTTTAAAACAGAATAACTGCTGATGTCTTAAACACAGTAAATGCTGAGGACGTCATTATCGAGGATAAAAATAGTACACTAACATCAGTTTAACTCCCGAATTTCTGAAAAAAAAATTACGTATTACGTTTACTGAATATTGGTACATGTATTTTTTTTATTTATACTTGCTACATCCGAGCCAAACCTTCCTCTCTCTTGGTTGCTTGATTACAAAAAATCTTACCATATGGCATAGATAATTAATTCGCAGAAGATATTGCAACAAAGATTTAGAAATTATTTTTATGGGAGATTACAACTAAGTATTTTAATATGGATTTATATATAAATACGAGGGCTGTTCAATAAACAATGTCCTCGGTGCTCGGAAAGTAGCAAAAGACCCTTTTCAATGATTTAGTCTTAATGTTTTATAACTTAACTATTTTCTTTTAATTAAAACACATGTCCGTAACATTTTTAATCATTTTCTGATTGTTTTTAGAACTCCTTTTTCAGTATGTCCCTTTGTATACTGGAATATGGCAGATTCTGTTTTCCTCGATTTGTTTCTTCTTTCTGAAAGGTGTTTTTTTTTTCAAGTTTGGAATATGAATCAAGTAAAAGGTTGCCAGAACTGCGAATATTGTTGGTGTGACAAAACATTAACTTTCTGTTTCTCCACAAAACACCATTATGTACACTTAAGGGAGTGTGGGTTTGGACGCTGTCATGAAGAAATTTAATGTAGTGGATTCCTGATTCTGGTTCTTTCCTCTCATAAACTTTTCGATTTTTTTGCAAAAATTTTGCTTTCTAGACTCCTCCAGAAAATGAACTGCCTCCCCGAATAAGAATTTGAACAATAAAAACACTTATGTCAAAGATAATGGCATATAAAACTGTCTTTGTCTTCTTGCAATTCTTTGCTCTTTTCAGACCTTTGCTGTTTTTGTCAAGTACATATTATTGTAAATTTGTTTTGGGGCTTTAAAGCAATGGATTAACGTTTTTTTACCTGTTTAATTTTCAGACAAACGTGGATAACTAAAATTTCTGATTTTTTTAAAAAAATAATTTTTTGATAATTATTCTCACACACTCTCGTTTTCACTCAATTTTCAAAACATTGGGTGACCATTGAGTACTGAGCTTTTTTACTTTCCAATGTTTCTTTAAAATGGTGTGATATATCCCCACTTTGACGCCTATCAAATTTGCTATGTGTCTTAAAGTTAATCAAGCATACTCAGTGATAATTTGGTGAATTTTGGCAAACAGTACTTTGGTTGTTGTAAGTCATTGTCGTCAAGGACGGTAGCAATTTTTGATGCCCATTATACAATATATATCAAGTAAAATATCGAAATATGAAACAGGTGTGTCAGACTCTATGGCATCTTCGCAAGCCAAGGGTTTTTGGTTTGTGCGGACCGAAAACCCTTGGCTTGCATAAATACTTTATAAGGATACTTTGATTTTCAAAGAAACTTGATTTTTAACATTTTTAGATTAAAATCCTTTCGATACGTTAATATATCTTATATATCCCGGTGAGCTTGAGATGAAAGATACCTTAAAGACCCAATTTTTTTACCGTACGGTTACCTGAGGAGAGAGAGAGATGCTTTCTACTTTAACCTGCTGAATTTCTAATTCTTATTTTCAATTCAAAACTATAATTACGCCTAAATCTGTTTAGTTCTTGCATAAATGATTATACCGTAAAGGCATTGTTCGCCTCCTAACTGTAATTGGACATTCTGATGAAAAACTTAATTGAATTCAGTTAATTCCTTCAGCATCATTTTCAGAGCTTACTGTTTACACAATTATTTTTATGGAGGTATTGAAAGCATTCGATAAGCAGTTTTACATAGTTCTACCACAGCTATTATGTGAAGCCGAATTCCATTTTTGTATTGGACACCAGAAATTACTTATATACTAAGTATGTTCTCTCCAAGAAAGTCATGAATACAATTGCTTAGTATTAACAAAAATCTGTTACATTTGGCAATGGCAATGGCAAAGTAGTTCATAATAAGTCATATTAATTTCTAATGAAATAATATCAAAATCCCTTTTAAGACCTGATTTTCAATTAAATAGATGCACAGTCTGTTATTATGGTTTTATATTTTAGTCTTTGACAATGATACAAATCCCATTACGTGGATATTGTGCAATTTACGGCGTAAGATTTTCTGTGCATGCATGGTTGGGCAAGCATTTCTCCATTTCTCCATTTTTCAGCATTGATCAATCATATCCTTTTCTTTCCCTAATTGTAGACATATTCCATGACCAACCTCTGTATTTTATCCACTTCCTAACCCTTAGTAGTTCTATCCAGGTCAGTAACCTCGCTTGGTTTTATTTTTTTGGTGACAGAAAATTCAAATCAAACGAGTTTATTGGTCTGAGAACTATAAGAGTTATGAGCTGGGTCAAATTTCCAGGTTGGTCTTGGGTGTGTCTAGAATAGGGGAATAAAGGCAGTTGAACAAACAATGCTAAAAGTTGTTGCAAAATACATCGAAAAAAATCTGTATATTGCACAATATTTACATTGCAGGATATGTAGCATTGGTTAAAGTCTAAAAATATATTAATCAAAACGTTAAAGTTCTGCAGCTTATAATGGGACTGCTTCAAAAATCGAATAATTAATTTTATTCAGTAATTTCCAATTACTAAACAGCAAAGTATGCAACATTTGATCAGACGCATCTTAAGCATTGTCATAGCCTTGTATTTTCAACATATTCAAAATATGACAAGAAAATTATTTTTCAACTACAGGTCTAGAAAAGTGGCAGTGATTTGCATTCAAATGTTAAGTTCTATTCTTCTGTCAATTGCTCTGGTCAGATACAAAGAAGACGAAAAAATAATTTAGATTCACAAATGATATAAGACAACAATTCTTACCATAAATTAGAGACATCACGATGGTTGGGAAGGAATTCATCAGGCTACCCATTTGTATGACCCAGGAAGAGTTTTAGTTACACCATTTAGTACATTGACCTACAGTATATTCAATTAGCTTTTGATGAAAACTTGATTCCTCAGCATTTTCATGTTTTATTTGAAACATAATAGAACAATAAAATGTATCAAAAGATACAAAAAATATTACGTTAAATAAAAAGATTGCATTGTTTCTTCAAACTAACTTCATTGAAGTGAAGAATAAAAAAGCTTATCTACATTCAAATTCAAATCTACCCAATGTTAATTTTCATATGTAATTAGAAAAAGAGGAAACCTAAAAAAAAAAAACGAAAAAAAAAACAAACAAAAAAAAAAACAAACAAACAAACAAACAAACAAACAAACAAAAACTATGTACTTCTTATGTTCCTTTGAATTTCAATAAACCTGATAAATGACAGAGGATATACAAACAAGATTATACTTTAAAAAATAAAAATAATTTGTCACGTCAAATTTAGTAAAATGAAAAGTTTAAACAGCATACTAATTTTTTTTTTATTTTAACAAATTTTCACAATAATGGGTTTTGAAGTGACAAAAATAGTTTAGATTAATAAGGATGGTTGCAAACAGGTAGAATATTGAATATTATAAAAGGTTTATGATTTCTTAATATTTAAGAATTTATTTATTAATAAGTTTATCATTTCCAACAAAAATAGACCCAAAACTATATATTTAAAAATATATATTTATTTATTCCATTAGTCATTTTTTTCTTCTTTAAATTTGCATTATCTGTCTTTAACAGTTTCTACAATAAATTTTGACAACATTAAAAGAAATCTGCGAAATATGATAAATTAATTATAAAAGCTTACCTTGAATCAAATGCTCATCTTTCTAAATCAACTTCAACTAAAGACCTCGATGAAATATCTACGGAGATAACGAACTTATTGATATAAATACAATAAATCTAAGTATCTTGTTGAAACCATCCAAAATTCTTGGAGGAACATCTAATAAGATACATGTACAGCCTGGATCAGTTAGTGTTTACTTAGACAAATGGTAGTTACAATATTATTGATTAGCTTGATTCATGCATTATATGCCCTTTTCAAAGATTTAAAAAAAATCAATTAGTACTGGATTTTAAATTTGATGCAGTTGATCGAGTGCACGGCAAATATTTTTTTTATCCCGGAGAGATAATACTGGCTATTAAATCAAAGCATCTATTTATACATAATTCGGACACAACCTTTGATCAGGAAGCTCGAGTGTGTTCATTGAAAGACAATCCAATAATGTATCCAACAAGCAAATCTAAAAATAAAAACAGTCTCGTCCATATACACGTACGTCTATGTTTAACATTAATAGGTTAAAACCGTACCTATGGCGATGAGTTAAGTTTTTTTTTATCATCACACATCTACTAAGAGAATTTTTTCATCGTGTGATTCCCTTATTGTGATACTTACATCTAATATTGAAAAGATAAACCAAAATTTTTACAACCTCATATTTGAGACGGAATATTTACCTTCTTTTCATAAATTTTAGTTAAAATGTACATTTGAACAGAAACAGAAACAGACCCTGTGCCAAAGATCGCAAGACGTATGTCTAATACATATATTCCAGGTAATTACAAATAAACAAATACATAATTTACTCCAGATATTGTCCTTCCTGGCAGAATATTTTATTAAATAAACTAAAAACATAACAAATGTATTCAGAGCTTATTTAATTTTCGGTTTTCAGGAAATAAAAACGTCAAGGAATTTGAGGTAACTATATGTTGAGATTTAGTTGGACCAGCGATCCACTGATAACCATGAGTCAGGTAAAAGAGTTATATACGAAAAGAGCACAGCTCAGATGGTTATATTGCTGATTCTTTATACCAAGTATGTGATTTAATCAAAATGGCTAAAATATTACCGATTCAGCGTTAAACAACAAAAATCCATAGTTAATTTTCTCCTTTTTAAGCATTTCATTTTTAGAGGATTGTGTATTCCCTCAGTTCAATTATCATATCCTCTTACTACTTAACCGAATATTTTTTAAAATTTCATTTCTATTTACGTGTCAATTTTTAGTCCAATGTAGAAAAAAAATATGTCATTACTTTTTTATTCTAGAATGATGGATCTCAAGCACACAGAGAAAATGGAATTATTTAATTATACAATACTTTGGATTAATTGATTATATTAAACAGAGTAGAGCATGAAATAGCTTCAGTGTATGTGTAAAAAACGATTAAAGTTCATGATAAAGAGTACAGAATAAATATTATATACAAAAATACACAAAGGATATAAATATCAATAGTAGTTACAAATTAGTATGGCAAGCCCTTTTACTATTTATTCGGAAAATAAATTTCATCTGAAAATTACAGAGATATCTCTCATTTTAGAGAGATATCTCTTAAAAATAAGAGATATCTCTCAACTTAAAGAGATATCTCTTATTCTAAAGAGATATCTCTATAAGAAAGAGATATCTCTTAAAGTTAGAGAGATATCTCTTATACTTAGAGAGATATATCTTTTTCTTTGAGAGATATCTCTTTTTCCTTGAGAGATATCTCTTTCGTGATAAGAGATATCTCTGAACGCTAAAGAGATATCTCTGATCGTTAGAGAGATATCTCTTTCAACTAGAGAGATATCTCTTTCACCTAGAGAGATATCTCTTTCACTTAGAGAGATATCTTTCCAAGTTAAAGAGATATCTCTTTAAGTAAAAGAGATATCTCTCTAAGTTTATCTTAAGAGATATCTCTCAAAGTGAAATAGATATCTTTCAAAAGGGTCTAAAAGAGATATCTCTGAAGCAAAAAGAGATATCTCTTTATTGCAAAGAGATATCTCTCTTCATTATGTTTATTTAAATTCCATTTGAAATGACTTCTCCCTTTACCGGAAGTGAACTTTTAATTCATTATTTCAAAAGCTGAGAAAATTCGGTCCAGAGTCTGTGTAAGTCTCGTCACGTGACTCGCGAGATTTTACGATAATTTTCACTTCCTCGCACATGGTCATGGTGAATGTGTATTGAGTTCAGCATGTTTCTGGTTTACACACAGCTTTCAGGGGGAAATTAAATAGTTTTACAAAGCCGAAGGGTTGTCCGACTTACGATGTATGAATTTCATGTCATAAGAAATTGGGTGCGAGCGTCCACCAGGAATATTTCGATCGAAATACAGGTAAACAAATCAGAGAGTGTCATCCGTTTCTTGTTTATTTTGAGGGAAAATGAAGTGTTTTATTCTTAACCGAATGAAATAGTTTCAAAATTATCTTTTGCCTTAATTTGTTAACAGATTTCTCTTGAATCCGAGATGTTATTCATCAGCTGATTATAGAGGAGGAGTTTTGTCATTGATGGGAACGAACGTCATATTTATGATATTGTGGCTGCATCACTTTTGTTTGGGTAATTTTTTAATATACTTTTTATGCCCCCGTAAACGAAGTTTCGGGGGTAATTAGTTTTTGTCGTGTCTGTCTGTCTCTCTGTTTGTCTGCAAAAACTTTCACCTTGCCCATAACTTTTGATTTAGTGGAGCTATGACTTTCATATTTCATATGTATATTCCTTGTGTAAAGACCTTTCTTTGGGTACCACCAAATTTGACCTTTTGACCTTGACCTTGGAGTTTGACCCACTTTAAAAATACAACATTGACAGAAATTTTTGAAGGGTTAGGACTAGGGCATTCATACTTCACAAATTTAATCCTTGTGACAAGACCTTTCATTTGATTTCAAGAACCTTGACCATCTGACCTTGACCTTGGTGTTTGACCTTCTTTTTACAAACTTTAACCTTGACCATAACTTCTGAATAGTTGGGGCTAGAGCTTTCATATTTCACATGTGTAATCCTTGTGACAATACCTTTCATTGGATATCAAGAATCTTGACCCTTTGACCTTGACCTTAAAGTTTGACCTACTTTTTACAAACTTTAACCTTGGCCATAACTTTTGAACGGTAAGGGCCAGTGCTTTCATACTTCCCATACGTAATCTTTGATACAAGACCTTTCTTTAGAACACAACAACCTTGACCCTTTCATGTTCATACATTTTGCCATCTCTCTGCATAAAATAAAATTTAGATGACCATATTTCTCACTTTAGAGAGTATGTTTCCTGTTTATAGAACATGGTTTATGGATTTTGGTAAATTTTTCTGTCTGTTCAAATTCGCCTGCATGGCACAGTGGTTAGAGTGTCTGCTCTAGTAGAGTCGCGAAATAAGGTGTTGATCCTTACATCATGAGTTTGAATCCCACTGTGGGATGTGGAGACCTGTCTTTTGGATGATACAGTATAACTGTGGCCCCTTGTTGCAGTAGGTCAGGTGTTGGCACAAAAAAGATCCCTTCCTGCTCAATCAGTCAATGGCCCTGAGTGCTGAGTATAGGTCATTAGGACAAAATTTGCAGCTCTCTACTGTCGTTTCCATATGAGTGAAAAATTCTTGAGAGGAATGATAAACAATAAACAATCAATCTGTCTGTTCAATTTATTCACTGATATTACACAACTGTATACACTAAAACTTATTTATAGCAGAGGTAAAAGAGAACCAGTAACACAGATAAAAGATGCAGTTCCTAAAAGATCCAAAGTCAGCAGCGCCTAAGACTATACTGATCATGACTTTGAATTATCAGCATCCAAAACAATGCAAATCAAATACAGGTATGAAATTGATGCAACAAATAAGTTCTAAGACAAATATAAAATTTATTTTTTATAAGACATAGCATATCAAAATGACTAATATACTAGTCAACAACTGGCCAGCTTTAAAAATATATTTGTTTGATGTACTCCTACCCACTTTTATCAAGGTTGGCAGGTAGGTTGGTAGGTACCGGTAGTTTTTTTTATGCCCCACCATGATTATGGCCTGGGCATATAGTGTTTGTCATGTCTGTCTTCTGTCTTTCTCTCCATGCGTCACACTTTGCGTTTAGCTCAGTTCAAAGCCCAGTTTCAAAGAAACTATACAGGATATTTCATCAAACTTTGCTGATAGATATTGATAAGAGCTATGCAACTGCATCAACATTTTCTGTCCTTGACCTTTCCTTTGACCTTGACCTCACTTTTTCTTAAATTAGTGTTTAACTTAGTTTTAAACATACCATTCAAGATGGTGTTACAGCAAAACTCGGTTATAACAAAGTTGCTGGGACCTATGAAATTACTTCGCTATATCCATAATTCATTATAATCGTATAAGAAATTCATTGAAATTTTATAGCTGGGAATCCAAGATGACTTCGCTATACCCATGAATTCGCAATATTCGTGTTCGTACGAAACGAGATTTACTGTATCAAACTTACCATACTGATGAGAGCTTTTCAACTGAAACAAACATTTTTTGTCCTTGGCCTTTCTTTTGACTTTGACCTCAATTTTCCTAAGTTAGTGTCAAACTTCATATGGTGATACATTCTGATGTAAGCAATTCAACTGCATCAACATGACATTGACCTTTTATTTGACCTTGACCTCACATCTCTGAAATTAGTGTCAAACTTCATATGCTGATACATACTGATGTAAGTAATTCAACTGTAACATTTTTCAAGATATTCTGATCAAATTTCATACAAATTTTCATTTTGCATGACTAATATACCCTTGGCGGGCATTCCTGTCCTGTGGACATATTTCTAGTTTTTTTTTTCTTATGTCTTACAGCATTGAATAAATTGATAACTGTCATATTTAAAACCACAGACTCAGAAATCTGTTAATGTTTTCATTTAGTAACAAAGACTTTGTATTTATAAATTAAAAAGCATCCTAAAAAAATATGATACCTTATCTTTAAAACATCTATGGAAATTAAGGGGGGTGTTAAAAAATTTTAAGTGCCCCCAAGAAATGAATGCAAATGGGTAGGGGCTATTTTAACAGGTCGGTCAGAGTACATCAAACAAATCATTTTTAGCTCACCTCGACGAAGTCGAGATGAGCTTATGCTATACCCCCGGCGTTGGCATCGGCGTCGGCGTCCCAGGTTAAAGTTTTAGGAGCAAGTCCATTCCCAAGTAACTATAAGCCCTACCTGAACCAAACTTGCATGGTTGATGCATCTAGGGATGTACAATACAAGACTTGCTTCGGATGCTGGATCTGACCTACATTTTCCAGATGAAAGACCAGGTTAAAGTTTTTGGAGCAGGTTAAAGTTTTTGGAGCAGGTCCATTCCCAAGGAATTATAAGTCCTACCCAGACCAAACTTGCATGGATGATGCATCTAGGGATGTACAATACAAGACTTGCTTCGGATGCTGGATCTGACCTACATTTTCCAGATGAGTGACCAGGTTAAAGTTTTTGGAGCAGGTCAATTCCCAAGGAACGATAAGCCCTACCCGAACCAAACTTGCATGGATGATGCATCTAGGGATGTACACTAATAAACTTGCTTCGGATGCTGGATCTGACCTACATTTTCCAGATGAGTGACCATGTTAAAGTTTTTGGAGCAGGTCCATTCCACAGGAACTATAAGCCCTATTTGGACCAAACTTGCATGGATGATGCATCTAGGGATGTACACTACCAGACTTGCTTCGGATGCTGGATCTGACCTACATTTTCATTCCCAAGTAACTATAAGCCCTATTTGGACCAAACTTGCATGAATGATGCATCTAGGAATGGACATTACCAGACTAGCTTCGGATGCTGGATCTGACCTTTATTTACATGCCCAAGTATCTTTAAGCCCTAGCTAAACTAAACTTGCATGATTGATGTATCTAGGGATGGACACTTCCAGACTTGCTTCGGATGCTGGATCTGACGTACATTTTCATTCCCAAGTAACTATAAGCCCTAGCTTAACCAAACTTGCATGGATGATGCATCTAAGGATGGACACTATCAGACTTGCTTCGGATGCTGGATCTGACCTATATTTTCCATACAAGAGACTTGGTTAAAGTTTTGGGAACAGATCAATCAGAATGAACTTGAAGACCTTGATATATGCAGTATAAACAGTTATGAATATTTGTTTACACTATACATATACATATTTTTCACGCTACAGGCTTAGAAATGTGTATATGCCTTTTATGGGGTTAAACACAACTTGCAAGAATATTGTTGTTGGGATGAATACTAAAAATTAAGAAAATATGATGTGAGATTTGCATTACTTAAACTGATAACATTCGTCGAGGTGAGCTTCGTAATCTTTGATTACCTATGTTTTTATTGTTGGCCTAGGAAGGGTACCCTAAATATGAAAATGCAACAAATATTTTTAAATAAAAAGATTTTAAATGAAAATATTTTTTATGTATAAAAAGGACAATTTTTATTCTGATTTTCTTGTAAAATCATTGATAAAATTTAATGAAGAAAGTTAAGATTTGTATCAAATAAATGGATATTTGTAAGATTTATAACTCATTATTTGTCAGGCACCTTAGTCCTACATCATTATCAGTTGCACATACAACTATGGCCTATGTAATAATTCAGTTGGCATATTACAGAAGCTTGCTAAATTACAGGTTTTGTCTGTACATCTGGCAATCTTGGGGCAATACTGGATGGTTTTAACTAAGAACTGATCCAGCATGAAGACCAGCCATGTGCCTCACCTGTCATGACATTATTAAAGGTAAGTGTCCCTATAAGCAAAGAATCTGACAAAGCAAAACCTTCATCTTAAAAGATTTACATTTAATACTTATTTGATCGGTAGTTTTAATTATTTTTTTCTTCTTCTAAGCAGCCTTTTATTTAGCATTTCTTAGTACTGCATGGTATATGATTGCCATACTTTCCAAAACTTTTTTTTAAATGCTTTATTTTGAAGCATTTTCCATATCCATATATACACTGTACAAACACAAGACAATTTTCACCCACTCACCACCACAATTGCACACACTCACACAGTGCACTTTCTAAAATTAAAAATAATGAGATGTTTGTAAAATACTTATGCCCCCCTCCCCCCACATTGGAATTTTTTATCTAAGTCCAAAAAGGCATAAAACTCTGTCAAAAATGGTGCAAGCATACCCAAAAGAGAACTTGACCTAGATATTCATGATCATCTGATAAATCTGTATACTAAATTGCATTTCACTATGTGCAACCTCTGCAAAGGAAATGAACAGAAACTGCAAGTAATTGGAATTTTTCTAAAGCGAAGGGGTATAACTCTGTCAAAAATGGCGCGATGATCATACCCAAAACAGAACTTGACCTAGATATTCATCTGATATACCTGTAAGGCTGTATACCAAATTTCATTTCAGTGCAATGGTTGTGAAGAAAATGAATGGAAACTAAATGGACTGACAGACAGCAGCAAAGCAATATGCCCTCCTTTCTTCAAAGGGGGGGGGGCATAATAAATGTACATATATGTAAACATATGACAGTTAAACATACAATTTTTCCAAAAACAAAACAGATGTACCCAAATGTGTAGATATAAATTAACAAAAAAATTACAATTTTGATTTTTTCATCACTTGTTGTACACATTATCATACAGGACCCATTTACTGAGTATTTTGTCCTTACATTGAAAAACTTTTTCACAACAATTTTCTATGTTTCTGTAATACTTGAATAACTTTACTGCATCAATAAATAATGGCTTACTATCTTGTGATCTTGAATAGAAAATAAAATTTTTTGCAACTAATAAAAGAAAAATTTTCTAAACAACTTCCTTCTATATTAACAAGTAAAACAGTTCTTTTGGATATTTTGTAATCTTTTTCAATGACACTAAACCTTTGTACAAATTGATTCCAAAATTCAGTCACATTAATATACACAATCATAAAATAAGTGAATTATTGTCTATTGTTTATATCCTGTTTCTATGTCTGTCTGTCTTTTGTCAACTTTAACCTCTGCCATAACTTTTGAACCATGAGAGATACAGACTTCATATTGAATATGCCTACTCCACTAATTAAATTCTTTCAAAAGACACCAAGGTCAATGACCTTGTTACCTTGACTGTGACCTATGTGCTAAAAATAGCTTCTTTTTTTTAACTTTCGCCTTAACTTTTGATACATTAAAGATAGAGAAATCATATTTGGAATGCCTTCTTCATTAATTATGCTCTTTCAAATGACACCAAGGCCAGTGAACTTTTGACCTTTAATGTGACTTATAAATCTACCTCACGCTTATCTCTCAGCGGATAAGTAAATACTACCCCACCCATATCTGGAGAGGGGAGGGTGTAGGTAAAAATCTACCTCACGCGTATCTCTCTGGGGGAAATTTAATGCTATAAATACCATTTTGAACTTTCACCATACCTTTTGTACCGTTAAAGATAGAGACTTCATATTTGATTTGCATACTCCACTAATTAAGCTCTTTCAAATGACACCAAGGCCAATGACCTTGTGACCTTGACTATGACCTATATGCTTAAAAAAACTTGTTTGAATTTGTTGCCGCCTGGTGCACAGTGTTTCACAAACACATCTTGTTTTGAAGTAGTTTTAATATTTGAATTTCTGTAGAATTTTATGTTACATATAAAAACCAAAAATTTTTAAAATCAAAATCATTTTTATTTCAGTACTTTGTGAAGTGGGATGATGGAATATTAAAGAATAGACATGGCTCTATATTACTGCATCAGAGATCAATCCAGGTTTACTTATAAATCAAAGAAAAACACTTAAACAGTCAAGCATCATTTGAAGCTACATGTGTCACCGCTTTAACAATATGCCTGCTTATATAACCAAGAAAGCACAGTGACCAGTTGTACCTATGGTGTCGGACAAGATCCCGAAAAAACTTCCAGTACACTCATCACTACCTGCAAAGAATTGAAAATTCTAAATGACTTGTATCAACACTTTTGTACTTCATCTGGCTTGTATTTTCAGTACTCATTAGCTTTTAGCTTCCCGCAAACAAAATTTCATAAGTACTAACTTGCAGCTGTAAAATATTTGAAACAGTTTGCTTGTCCCAAAGGAAATTCTGCCAATTAGCAGTGGCATGAGCAGTTGGTTGATGTCACAGTTCCACCGGCAAAGTATTTGTAGCTGAATGGTGCCATGTAGCCCATGTAAAACACTTTTCACAAGAACATGGAAAACATCCTAGAAGTGAGGATCTACAAGAAATTAAGAGAATACTTTTTTGTATTTTCAATGTTATAAAATGTTTGTGTACATCCTTTATATATAAAACTAATTACGCATGTAACTACCAAATATACAAATTAAACTTCAATCCTTAAATTTGTTCTTAAGTTTATTTATATTGTATTAAAATAAGCATGTAATATTTGTCTTGTTATACTGAAGGATTCAATGTTAAGAAAATGTCGTTCATTGAAAAAATGTGCAACCATTCTGCGCAGTTAGCAATTTTCATGGAGAACCTATCGATGTGCATTAGCAATTGTTGGGATGACAGGCACACAGTAGAAGAATTGTACTTGTTAATAAATGTTTTTTACCAATCAAATTCCAAATTGATAATTTAATAAGAAAGCATATGACAAATTTAACTATCATTATGGTCCATTGATTCACCAAGGTGTTTGAGCTTTTGTGGACTTGATACTTAACTAGTAAGTTTGAAATATTGAAGTAAAGAAAAGTGCAGCCCAAAAAATTATCCTGTACCTGATTTAAAATGAGTGCCATCCTTAACTACTTGGGAGTTAATTGCCACACTCTTCATGAGTATAAGAATTATTGGATATGCCTCATTAACAGGTCTATACTGATACATGGATGACACATTCAGTCGAAGCATTGTCCCTTTTTCAGTACCTCCTGGATCTCTGTAAAATATGACAAATGTAGATAAAATGTTCTACCATTGAATGATGAATGTCTTATGGACCCAGTGCAGACCTGTTTGGTGACAACATTGGATAAATTGGGGATTGTTCTAGCTAAGACAAATAAGAAAATTCCTATTTCTAATGCCTATTTTAAGAAAATAAAATGTCTTTCTCATAATTGTAAGAGAATTTGGGAACACGGGCACCTGAAGTTTGGATAATACCCCCCCTGTTTTTTGTTAAATTTTAAAAAAAAATATAAAAAATGGGGGGGGGGGTATTATCCATACTTCAGGTGCCTGTGTTTGGGAAGGGGGTCATAAGGCTTTACAGTTAATATATTGATCGTACATGTATGTCGTTTAACGTCCTACAGTTAATATTGAAGGAATATAATATATACATCCCTGTTTACATGGAAGAAGTATTGAATGATTTTTTAAAATAAATTATTATTACATGCCGGGAGCAAGTCCCTGTGATTACGGTATATGATTTTTTAAAATAAATTATTATTTGGACGTTTTTATTTTGGAGTATTAATTAATTAAAATTAATTAATTAAAAAAGAACATTAATTCTATCAGGATTATGTTTAATCAACGTAGTAATCAATCCTGTATTCCCGTGATCGATGAAATTGGGTGCATGTAGGCCTATTTCGAATTTGTTTTTATTGACTTCGCATTCCCCGGCTCAGCTGTATGAAATAAATATAATATGGAACAAATCTTTGGGGGACGTTTTGGTTTGAAATCCTGTTACTTTCGCTTAAAACAATAAAGCAATTAAACGTTGTTTACCCGTATCAATCAGTCCATTTTTTATCCTCTTCTTTTCAATAACCAGAAAACGAACGACTTAACAGACATTACTTCCTGTTTCGCTTTCGTTTTTAACGGGAGAATTAGTTATTTTATTTTAAGGGTGATTGGAAAAGAGATATCTCTTTCATTAAAAGAGATATCTCTTTAGCTTAGAAAGATATCTCTTTTTGAAAATCTAAAGAGATATCTCTCTAATTAAGAGAGATATCTCTTTTAAACTTGTTAAAGAGATATCTCTCTAACTTAAAGAGATATCTCTCTCGTTTAAAGAGATATCTCTCTAGCTTATAAAGATATCTCTCTTACTAAAAGAGATATCTCTCTTTCAAAAAGAGATATCTCTTTTGTTGAAAGAGATATCTCTCTAAAGTATTAAGATATCTCTATTAGTCAAAGAGATATCTCTATAAGCTAAAGAGATATCTCCATAAGCTAAAGAGATATCTCTCTATGCTAGAGAGATATCTCTCATTTTGAAAGAAAAATTTATTTTACGAATAAATAGTAAAAGGGCTTGCCATAAAATTAGACTTTCGTAGAGCTGTAGCTTTATATAAAAATTTTCCCAAATTAGACAACTCTTTTACATTTTGACTACTCATTAAACTTACAACTTTACATACACTTAGTTTGACATAATAATACCTCTTAATGTACATACTTCTCAGCTTTTCATAAAATGGACATTTTAATATGAAAAGAAATTCATCTTATACATCATTAGAGGAGCATAGTGTGCAAATGATTAAAAAAAATTCCCATCGTTTGTGGTTAGATATGATTTTATATCCACCCTGTTGTATGTTTTCACCCCTCGCCTAGGTCCAGGGATGAAAAAAAATATTCACTCATTTTGAAAAAAAAACCATATTCAGCCACAAACCATCGTTGATAACCAGTGAAAACGTTGACAGTTACTTCAATACAAGAGTCAAGAATATTTCAGGTGGTGCTACAGTAAGTACATTGAAACTTACGCACTATATATAATATTTTACAGTTCTCCTGGTACATAAATGAATTTTTATGAAACATTTATCTAAATTGTTGGATTAATTATCTAATAATATAATTTAATTATCATAACATGCATTTAATAACAATGACCCTTCTTTTTTATGATACATGCCGTTTTTAGCTCTACTGGTCAGAGACCAGAAGAGCTTATGCGATAGTAATGCGTCCGTCGTCAGTTCGTCTGTCTGTCTGTCTGTCCGTCTGTAAACAATTTTTCAAAATGCTACTCCTCCTACAGTTTTGGTCTGATTTCAATATAACTTGACACACAAGTAGACTACACTAAGATACATAATTCTGTATATCGGTTTTTGATTTCGATGAACGTTGTTGCCTTGGTTACTAAAAATAGAAATTTCTGTGAAATACTTTTAAAATGCTACTCCTCCTACAGTTTTGGTTTGATTTCAGTATTACTTGGCACACAAGTAGACTACACTAAGATACATATTTCTGTATATCAGTTTTTGATTTTGGTGAACGGTGTTGCCGTGGTTACTAAAAATAGAAATTTCCATGAAATACTTTTGAAATGCTATTCCTCCTACAGATTTAGTCTGATTTCAGTATTACTTGGCACACAAGTAGACTACACTAAGATACTTAATTCTGTGTATCAGTTTTTGATTTCGATGAACAATGTTGCTGTGGTTACTAAAAATAGAAATTTTTGTGAAATACTTTTAAAATGCTACTCCTCCTACAGTTTTGGTTTGATTTCAATATATCTTGGCACACAAGTAGACTACACTAAGAAACATAATTCTAGATATTGTTTTTTTTATTTCGATGAACAGTGTTGCCGTGGTTACTAAAAATAGAAATTTCCGTGAAATACTTTTGAAATGCTACTCCTCCTACAGATTTGGTCTAATTTCAGTATTACTTGGCACACAAGTAGACTACACTAA